ATATATGTGTGTATGTGTGTATATATATATATATATATATATATATATATATAATGGGGTTTTTTTTGGATTGTTTATTATGGTTAGACATATATGCATATATATATAAACCAAAACTGCCCCATAGGGTTTCCAAGGAGCAGCTGCTGTATTCAAACTGCTGACCTTTTGGTTAGTAGCCAAGCTCCTAACTAGGACTCCATACCCTAGTATATATTGGTAGATATATATTGGTATATTTTTTTTTATGAAAAAAAAATTCAAATCCTAAACTTTGGGGTCAAGGAGCCCTTGATTTTAATCCTATCCTATGCTTACTAGCGATGTGACTGAGGGCAAAATATTTACCTTCTCTGAATCTTTGTTTTCTCATTTGCAAAACTGGGATAACAATATGTATCTTGTGTTGTTTTGAAGCTTAGAAATACAGAATATAAAGCCCTAGCACATGCTGTCTAAACGCTAGCTGCTATCAGCAACTGCATCATCATTACCGCCTCATCGTCCTCTCCAGTAGTAGGCACGGTGCTCTCATCAACGCGGGTGCATCTGGCGCAGCCTTGGCCCTCAACTGTCACTGAGCAGATAATGGCAGTGCTGTTTTGCTGGATCAAAACCAAAACCAAACCCACTGCCGCTGAGTGGATTCCGACTCATAACGACCCCATAGGGTTTCCAAGGCTGTAAATCTCTATGGAAACAGACTGCCACATCTTTTGCCCGAGGAGCCACTGGTGGTTACAAAACACCAACCTTTCAGGTAGCAGTCGAACACTTTAACCACTGCACCACCAAGGCTCCTTATATTGCTGAGTCAAACCAGAACATTTTCCAATCTATCAGAAAGTATAACTGGGAAAATTAGAAATTAGTGAAAGTCTAGAATAATGTTGTTTGTTTCCTTAATCTTTCCCTGAGTTATATTTTATGTTTCACTCCCTGGTTTATTAGAGGCTGACTCTGCATCTGAGATCGTCTGTGACGCCTCCTGTCATCAAAGCATCCTTATCATCACAATTATCCCTTTACTGGGTTCATTTTCATTCCTGTAACATTAGTAATTCTCTGCAACTACAGTGATATCTTCTTCCTTTAAGCAAAAAATGAATAGTTAGACAGACACTATACCTGAATACTGTTGACAAAAGTCTTTCTGTCTTTAGAATCACTCTTCTATAATAAGATTGTAAATAAGACGTTTTGTTTTGGTTGGGGGGGGGCATTGTTTTTTAAGCATAGAGCCCAAAAAGCATGTTATAGTCCTTCATTCCTACATCCTTTTTATACTTTTCTAAGCATACTTTAATATCCTTGTCATCTCCACAGCAACCCAGTTAAACAGGTGATGTTACTGAACTTATTTGCAAGTGAGGAAAATGAGTCCCAGAGAGGTAGATAAAATAACTTCCCAAATGGCAGTTAGTAGTGAAGTGAATCAACTCTTCTCACCATGAGTACAGTGCTCTTTCTCTTCAAGTACATTGCCTATAAATTGGAGCCAAGCCAGCCCAGATGGGAAGTGGCAAATACTTAAAACTATAGGGATTGTATGCACCGGCCATTTCTGTGATTTTATGATCATTGCAAAGGATGGGATGATTCTCCTCTTTTTAAGAGTTTTAGAAAAACACTTAATGTATTCTTCTACGTTTGATATCTTGCTCTTCCATGTAGTGTGAAGAACTAGGTCATGTGTAAAGTACTGTAATAGACTGGTGATTATATAAAGTATATGAAAGGACACAGTCGCTATTCTTAAGGGTCCTACAACCTTTTGATAGATTCAATCTCTTGAGTTGTACAGATGGAAAGCCTCTACACATATGGTTACAGATCATCAGAATGCCTGCTTCTAGCAATGCGTTAAGTGCTATAGCAGATGGTAGCTTGCTAGTGCCTTTTTCATATATTTTATTAACATACCGTGAGCAACGTATACAGTTGTGCTTTCTGACTTTAAAGTCCTGGGCATAAATGAAGAACCAGCCACTTTCTAAGCTTTTAAAAATGTTAAACAATGATAATACCTGATATTGACTTCTAGAATTTTTAGTTTAAGTGAATTTAAACTGTGGCATAGGCGTTCTTCACATTTACAGTTTTCTTTTACAAGAACATCCTGAATTACAGGCCTTTGAAATGAACTCAGTTCTTTCAGGCACCTAACCATTATTTATCAATCTACTAAGTTCTGGTTTACCGGGAAGAGCTCATGTTGGCTTGGATAAATATTGTTGCTTCTGTGGTTGTCATCATCATCATAAACTCATCGCACTTAAGATCAGATGAAAACAATGAATGTTTCTGTTAGTTTCTACGTCATGAAATCTGTAATGAAAATGCATGGTTTATCTCCTTAGTTACCGAGATGAATCCCAATGTTGCAGTAATCTCAGCGCTGGCCATCCTTAGCACCTTTTTAATTGGACTGCTGGTTGTGACCCTTGTCATTCTGAGGAAAAAGCATCTACAGATGGCTAGGTAAGTTAAGTTTTATTAAGCTTTTATCCATACCCTTTAAAATACATTTATTCTTCGTTCACGTATGACTTTTGCAGAGCTCTATTGTAGAGTGGTAAATTTGACTTGGGTTTTAGTGTCTATTTGTATTTTGTGTTGTCTGAGGAGACTTTTCAATATTATTTTAGAAAACATTACCACTGACATGGTAAAGTAAAGGAGTGTTTGCTTTCATAAAACCAGACTTCTTGTTTTTAATCTTTGCATTTTAAGTACCCTATAAAAAACCTATTTCATTTAGGTATTTTTGGACATACTTTGGAGTAAAAGAAAGATCTATGCCTGTTCATTATGGTTAATGAAAGGATTAATAAAAATGGAGACCAAAAGAAAGAACAGGAAAAAATCCTTCTCCTCATTAGTTCCGTTAAAGTTGTTTTATCAGAAGATACTGGCAGAGTTTACGATCAGGTCATTAGAGGTCCTGTTGCTTTAGTTTCTGTTACTGAGAGTGATAGGCAGTTTCATTTTTCTTGCAGTTAGAAAAGCTTTTGATTTATGAATTCTGTGATTCCATATTTCTTTCAACCATTGATGCATTGCTCATCAGAACACATTCTTAAGCGCTTTCTATGGTCCCCTTTGTTAGCAGAACAATCTATCAATTCCCTTAAGAAACAGTTGCTAAGTGGAGTACTACTGAGTTTGGGAAATTTGGTTCAAAGTTATATTCACCCAATGTTAGCCTGCCGAATTGTCAATCAACATCCTTCTCCTTTTTTAGAATCCTGTCATTCACATATTCATATAGAAATTCATCTATACAATAACCATTTAATCATTGCCTTATGTGACATACTCAAAGAAGAATCAGATATCCAACCTATCTTTCATGCACTTACATGTTAGCTGGAGATATGTATGTAAATAAGTATTTTAAAAGGTACAAACTGACCTGTATAATAAAGGAGATAAAAATGAGATGACACAAAGGTGGGAAAGAGAGAGAGATTAGTTCTAAACATGAAAATCAAGCTTCGTGAAGATTGGTATTTGAGTAAATCTTAGAAGGATAAGGAAGGAGGTGGTATTGCCCTGTGAGTAGAGTGTAGGGCTCTGAAATCAGACTCCTTGGGGTTAAACTCTAATTTACAACATTTGTGACCTTTCACAGGTCACCTAAACATCACTCATTCATTTAACAAATATCAGTTAAGCACCTGCTGTGTGTCAGGCTTCTCTAGGTACTTAGGACATGGCAATATAAAAAAGAGACGAAAATTTCTGCCTTCGCAGAGTTTGTATTCTAGTGGGGAGATAGACAATAAACAATAAAGATAAAAGTAAAAAAATAGTATAGCATATTAGCAGGTAATAAGAGCTATGGAAGAAAAAATAATATAGTAAAGGGGAATTAGCAGAACTCGTATGGGGACAGGAGCACTGGAGAGGGTAAATTTACTGAAAGGACGGCATTTGAGCAAAGACTTGAAGAACATGAGGGAGTTAGCCATGTGTTATCTGGGGGAAAAGTGTGCCCAGCAGAGGGACTAGCCAGTGCAAAGGCCCTGAGGCAGGAGCATGATTAACATGTTCCAAGAATAGCAGAGATACTAGAGTAGTTAAACCATAGGGAGTAAAGAAGAGAGTAGCAGAAGATGATGTCACATCACATAGGGCTTCATAAGCCATTGGAAGGACGTTGGTTTTACTCTGAGTAAAATAGGCAGCTGTTGCAGGGTTTGAGACAGAAGATTAACAGGATCTGACTTTAACACTTTCATTTTGACTTTTATATAGAGAAAATGCTCTACTGAGGCATGGGCAAAGTAGGCATGCCAACTAGGGGCAATTACAGTAACCCAAGCAAGAGATGACTGTGCTTCATTCCATATTGGTAGCAATGGAAGTGGAGAGAAATGGATTCTGGATATATTTTGAAGGTAGAGGCAACAAGATTTGCTAACAGAAATCAATAGAGGATTGATAAAAGAAATCAACAAAGGGATGGCTCCAAGATTTTCGACCCTAGCAACTGAAAGGATGGAGTTGCCATCAACTGAGATAGGATTCCAGGTGAAAAGGTTTCAGAATTGAGGGAACATCAAGACTTCAGTTTTGGAAATGTGATGTTTGAGATGATTTGCAAGTGCAAGAGAAAAGTCTGGATTGAAGATATAAATTTGGGAGTTGTTCATATATAAATATAAAGCTATAGACTCAATTAAATCCAGAAAGTAAATGTAAATAAGAGAAGAGGGTCCAGGATTAAGCCCTGGAACAATCCACTGTGAAGACTTTCAGGGAGAAGAGAAGTTAACAGCCAAAGAGACTGAGAAGAGGCAGCCAGCTGGAGTGGAAGGAGACTGAGAGAATATGGTGGCCTGGAATCCAGGGAAAGAATGTGTATCAAGGAGAGATGGTAATAGCATCTACATCAGTGGGTAGTTAGGAGCAATAATGCAACAGTAACATAGCATAATACTCAATTCATAGAAGGTATGCAATAAACGTTAGCTCATAATAGTAATAGTGGAGGGGTGGTAATAGAGGTAGTAATGGAAGTAGTGGTGTTTATGAAGGGAATATTGCATGATCATTTTTTTGTGGAGTACACAGCAAGATATTTAAGAGAGGTAGTACTAATTTCTACAACTGGGCGTTAGATCAGGAACTGTAAACTTTTTTGTGTCATGACCCTTTATGGTAGTCAGGTAAAACCTGAGGACCACTTCCAAGGAATAAGGCTTTTTTCTTAAATATGAAAAATAAAATAGATAAGATTAAAAAATACATCAATTATGTTGAAACACGGTCATCAAAGTATTTTTTTTAAATGTGTTAAATATGTTTTATTAATGCATTAAATAATATCCAGTAAGGCATCTAATAACTCATAATTTCATCACAGCAATGAACATGAACAGTATTTCAGGATATATGCAACAGCTCTATTATATAAAAATATCTACAGTTTCCATTGTTGGCAACATCAAAGAACAGATAACATTATTGTGATTTGTTGCTCACTTTAATCATTGAAGAAACTGCTAAAGTTCAGTTAGAAGTTGTGAAAATAAAGATGTATTTTCCCACCTATGATGTAACGCCCTAAATTCTATCCTTGGGCCCGAAATTAAGAACCCCTGAATTAGAGGGTAAAATAAATCCCACATAGAGGAAGCAGACATAGGAAAATTTATTGATGTGTAATTTATAACACAATATGACATAATAATATATTAGTGTATTGTCAAAAAAATAAAACTATTAGAACACCCTAATAAGAGCAGGTGGAACAACTGAAGTAGTTAGCACTTTGTACCAATAATATCCAAATCACTGCTTCACATCTAAATTAAGTCCCTGAATTTCATATAGAGAAAAAGGAGATACATGAATCCCAGTGAGATGTATTATTTATGCATGATATTAGGCAAAAGATGGAGAGGACATGAGAAATGTTTACCTTTTCTCCCTACTTACAGAGAAGAAAAAAAAACTTTGAGTATTTTCTACTGTCAGATTAATAAGCAACATTTTGGATAAGAGTCACTGCAAACACCAAGCTATTTTCATACATATCACTCTTGATACTCTTATCTCAAGTGATTAATAATACGGGGCATCACAACATTAAGAAAAGATTTTAGATGAAGGAAAGCGTTCAGCTTGATCCACCATCGTTATAGATCAGAAATCAAGATGCAATAAAACAAAATCTTACAAAGAATATTTGTTAAAAATGAGAACCTTCAGTTTGTCTAAAAGAGTTTCTAAACCTTATTATTGAAGACTTTGTAAAAAAAATATTATACCCCAACTAGTTCAAAGATTTGTTTTAGGATCATGATTGCCCTTTGGAAAGGAATGTGAACTGAATCCTATCTGGCCTCAAATAACTTGATTTTGATGTGGGCAACCTTGTAAAAAATTGTTCTGTTTTCTTTTTCTTACATTAGCTATTGTGGAATTTATATTAGCTATTTCTTTTTTTCAGTATATTTGTATTATGATTTCATGCTGTGATTATAAGCTAGTAATCATTTTGCCTTACATCAAGGTAAAAGAGGGCTCTGTCAAGCAGTAACCTTGACTTTGTGGTTCCTCCGAACAGGGAATGTGGAGCTGGAACATTTGTCAATTTTGCATCCTTAGAGACGGATGGAAAGCTTCCGTACAGCTGGTGAGTAGTGTTTTAGAACAAGCCTCAAGATAGTTTAGCTCTGCTGTGTGTACTCCAAACTTAACCATTTTGGGGGGATAAATTGCTTTGTCTGATTATCCTTTGACAATGGACTTGAAAGATTGCATCTTCTTTACGAGTATAATAGTTTCTATAAGTTGAATACAATTCAGAAGTGGAGAAAACCTTGTAGTCTGCTCTGTATTTATTATATTAAGCAAAGGGCTAAAGCAGTCATGCTGCTGGTAACTGTAGTGAAACAAAACTGAAACCAAATCCGTTGCCATTGAGTCGATTCTGACTCGTAGGTCTATAGGACGGAGTAGAACTGCCCCATAGCGCTTCCAAGGAGCAGCTGGTGGATTTGAACTTCTGACCTTTTGGTTAGCAGCCATAGTGCTTACCCATCCTACCACTAGGGCTCCAACTGTAGTGAAGAGGGCTGAAATGCAGGTGCCACATCAGACAAGTGGTGGCTGAGGGCACCAGGAGAGACTTCATTGAAGCAACATGAGACAGAGCAGTACTGCTATTTACAACTCATATCTCAGTGCCCGAGGATATTTGCCACCACTACTAATCAAAAATTAAGTAGAAGTATACGGGCCAGGCAGCTCTACTCTTATGTTTACAGTAAATGAATTTCACATCCAGGAACTCCTATGAGAAAATACGGCCTCATTTTTCTTTATGCTTGAGTATTAAGAAACTGGTGGGAGGAGGTATTTTGGGAATTTAGACAGCATTGTCAAGAGATTACATTTGTTGGCACTGTACCTAACAAAGATAAATGAGAATTAAAAGTCTAAACTGTTACATCAATACCCAGCAAAATCGCTAATTAAGTAAACATTTAATATTAAAACAGTGTTACTTACATGATCTAGTTTGTGTCTTTTGCAAACAACTATGCAAGTACATTTAAATACATACATTTTATATTAATCCTTGGTAAAAGATTTTGTTTTCTGTTTTGCTAAACCCTCCAAAGATGACCAGTCTTAAAAATGAATAAATAAATAATGGAACAGGAAATTTATTCTACAGAATCAACAAGGGATGTGGGGCTTTATTTAAAATACTTCTCTGGGTGGGCTCTAATTGAAGCAGAATTCTTTTTAATAAGATGGTATGGTGAGCTATTTTTAAATTTTAACCTAAATAGAATTTTGTCATCAAAATAATATTTAATAAAAATTAGAATTTTGTTTTTAAATAATCTAACTGCAAAGAAAGAGAAGCTCATTAAATCCCTAATGGTAAGAAGTTAGAAAACCTTACTAGGTTTGTAAAGATATATTAGCGCTCTTATTCCAAGATTAGGATACTGAGTCACTGATCAGGAGATGTTTGTTTCTTGCTTAGTCCCCCCTTAAAAAAAGACCAGCCCCAAAGCAGTGGTGAGTGGTCCATTTAGGAATTCATTCAATGACTTGTGGCTTATGAGAGCTATGTGTTAACTGAATCCACAACCAGTCACAACTGATGGAATTTACTTCCGCATGGACCAATTATGGGAGAACTGAGGCAAAGGAGAAATAAAACAAACGAAATAGAGATGTAGATAATATTACATTTATTTCCCTACTTAATTCTCTTAGGTTTTCTTACTTTCCATGTTTGGTTTTTTAGCTTATATCAGGTGTGTCTGTGTGTATTTGTATGTCTTCGTTAATAGGTCTTTATATGAAATCACGCAGATTCCCCTGCAGTTCTTGGCAAAGACATTTTTCCCAGCACTAGCATTTTCTGGCTGAGATAGCTCAGTGGAGATTTGTTACCATAAAAGTGACAAGGTGACAGCATTTTCCCCTAATTGTCAGAATAATTATAGATTCAGCTACAGGTTATTTTTCAATCTCTATTAATAAATGCTCTATTCACAAGTGGTTTGAAAATCTGAAATTGGATTCAAGCCAGGCATTTTAAATCAACAGTCTGAATTAGAATTAAAGTGAAAGCAAATGATTTTTCTTCCACTCAGCTGATTACAGACTAGGCAGTTGACGAGCTATTTATTTTGAACAAATGACACCTGAGTATCATACATACCTATGTCTTCAGTGTTATATTTAGAAATGATTCTTAATTTAAGCTAAAAATAGTATAGAAAATCATACCTAGAAGTGCAGCTTTATAAGGATGTGTCTCAAAAGCCCAGAGCAATGCTAAATCACTCTTTACCACAATCAGTAATCAGTATGTGTAACCTGACCATATGTTTCCTCGCACAAGCCACTCTTTAGCTGTCAGATGCTGTTATAGAAGTTTTTTAAAATAGGGCGCAAGCATTGGAAGGGTAACATCCAAGAATAAAAATCAAGATAACCAAGGAGGCATTTAAGAGCCTCATTTAACTAAATGCAAAATGTAATCACCTAATAGCAGACTAATTGACACAAAGTAAGTTGAAAGAAATATATCTGATTACAATAAAGTCATGTGTGAATAAAACTGATTTTGTCAATATTACAGCACTTAAGCCCTCACATTTAAATTTCACAGAATGGAATAATATTTTCTTGTCATTAAGGTGCTTGTCATTTTAATTGATCCTGGTAGGTAATTTAGTGATATCTGTTCACAGTTTGTATTACTAACTCTTACCACTTTTTCATCTTTACATCTGTTATCTATTAATGCTCACAGGCGTAGGAGTATATTTGCTTTCTTAACCCTGCTACCCTCATGTCTTTGGACTGATTATCTTTTGGCATTTTATATTAATCCTTGGTAAGTGATTTTTTTTACTGTTTACCTAACACACCGTCTTTAAAAGTTAGCTTTCAAGTAGTAAAAACAAAAAGAAAATTTCTTTTTAACTATTTTGTATGTTTGACAGCATCTAAAATTATTAATCATATATTGAAATGGATTACAGCAGTTGATGGTACCAAGATGCTAACTATAATGTTTTCCCAATTATATTTTCTTCCTGTGATGTTCTTGGCAAACTTTTCTTCCATTTATCCCCAGTCATTTGTTTCTTAATTGAGTCAATCCTTTGCCCTCCATCTTTGTCAGTGATGCTTCCCCTTTTTCTTACCGCCTCCCTGCATTAGCGAGCTCCATATTTCCAAGAAGGCAGGTCTGAATTAAGGTGGACAACCCAAGGGAACTAGCCTCTGTGTTGGGGGCTTCATTTTTTTTTTTAAATAATGCTAACTCAATGAATATTTAACAACTGTCTATGTGCAAAGTTCTTTGCATAATGATCTGACAGCTCTCTCCACAACCCTGCGTCTAGAAGATTTATTTTCTTTCCTAAGCCTCAGGAAAGAAGATGGCCGTTTCCAGGAGAACTAACAAAGAACGCATTGTCTCTAATTATTAATCCATGATATTTAAGTACTAAATTATGTACATAAATTTAACTTCCCCCCAGGGAAGACAAATGATTAAAAAAAAAAAAAACTGGAGAGTTAGTTATTCAAAAAGACAATTGATGAAATGTTCTTTAGCTCCTCCAAGAACAAAATAAATACAGCTGGCAAAATTTAGGATTTCAAGTTTCAGTGGAAAAAAATTTTTTTGAAAGGACTTTTTCATAATAGAGATTGTTAATACCAGAATTTGTATTTTAAAACAAAAGGGAGGGTGCAGACTAGTGGAAACTTTTTGAAACAAGGTAGACAATTATGTATAAGTAATAAAGTCAGAGGAAAGTACTACTGGATGGCCACGGAGGACCCATTCACTGTTTTTCTAATTTTGTGTTTCGTAAGAGTCTAGGACTTCACCGTAGTCAACTCAATATTTTCAGTACTTAACATCAGATAGTTTTCAGGTATAAGTAGCTCATGTACATTCCATTTTGACCTTTAAGATACACATTTACCTTGAACTCAACATCTACTACTAATCATCCCCAATATTCTACCTACTATTGGAAAAATTGTAGCAAATACCCTTAAAGTACCCTCCACAGTTTGCAATTAAAACATTTATTTCCCTACTTAACTCTCTCAGACTTTCTTACCTTCCATGGCTGGTTTTTCAGCTGATATCAGTTGTGTCTGTGCGTATTTGTATGTCTTTGTTAATAGGTCCCTCTGATGAGCACAGCTTCCCACCCCAGCAATCCCTTCGTGGTCTTCTATTTTTAGGACCAGTCAAATACCTTGAGAGCTCAAGTTAGGGAAAAGCCTTCCTTAGTTTTTAGAAGAATTGTCCTGTGCTGTAAATGCTTACCTCCGGGTGAGATGACAAGGCAAAAAAGCTAGAGCTCCATGCTTTCCGCCACGTTCACTAAACTTCACACATTTCAACCAACGAGAAAACACTGAACTTAAACTATGTTCTCAGCCGTAAACAAAACTCACGGTCTCTACTCCTTCAGGTGTTAGGCGTTGGTGGTTTCAGTAGTAGAATTCTCTCTTTCCAGATGGGAAATCCAGGTAGATTTCCATCCAATGCACCTGATGTGCAGCCACTACCTATCGGTGGAGGCTTGCATGCTGCTATGATGCTGAACAGGTTTCAGCAGAGCTTCTAGACTAAGAGGGACTAGGTCAAAAGGCCTGGCAATCTACTTCCAAAAATCAGGTAATGAAAACCGTATGGATCACAAAGGTCCAATCCCCAACCTATCATGGGATGGGCAGTGTTGCCTTCCATTGTGCATGGAGCTATCATGAGTCAGGGGTAACTGAAGACAGCTAACAACTCCTTCAAGTACAGCTTAGTACTCACACAGCCACTCAAATTTCCTACCATCACCTACTTTTCTCTTCAGCTAATAACGTCTGGATATTTCCCCTGCTTCCATTTGCTAAATAGTCATTTTCAACCCCCTGTTTACAAAAAACAGAGCCCCACACACCCCTTTCTAACACACTGTCCACTTCCTCTCTCAATTGCCTTCTTGCAAAGATATGTTCCTATTGATTTCTAACATCCCCCTGTTGCTTCTAGTGCCCTGTGTGGAAATCAAGAGACTCTCTCTCTCTTTCACAGCGTTGCCCGAAGCTTTTCCCGGGGTGGTAGCAGGATCAGTGTGGAGCACCCATGCCCAGTTAGGTTCGTCTTGGGATTGCATTCTGCAAGGGTGTCTGCATTTAACGATCTCAGATTTTGCTTCCCATTCAAAGCAATCTAATATGAACTCGATGTACTAGATCCAGTGTTATTAGTCTCGTTTTTTACTATCATAGTCACCCTCATGCTTTACTCAGTTATTCATCTGCCTGTTCTTAATCCTCAGTAGTTGATATTTTAAGCATGAAGCAACATTTAGTTAAAAATGCTCAGCTTTATTCATGATATACTGCATGTTCTATTTGGAGAATGATATAACCCTAAAGATCTTTGTAAGACTTGGGGATGGTTTCCGTCTAGCTCATGGAAGAGTGAGTAGCACTTGTGAAATTGGGAGCGTTTGGTTTTTATTTTAAACCATTACAAAGTCCATGTCTCTGCCATTGCCTCATATTCTTCTTTGGAATGAATTCCAGTCTGGCCGGCCTTCCAAGACTTCTCATAGCCATAAAGGACTTGTAAAGGGTGCATCTTAACTTCTTGAAGTCATTGGGCTTTGAACCTTACCTAATATAAGTGAGAGACAAAGAGGCAAAGAAGTGCATGATCCCATATGCATATATGCATTTGTCTGATGGGTGTTATTTGTCCATTATTCAGAAAACATTGGCAATGAAAAGGTGATGCCCTAAGCATCACCCATATTTTCCCTGTAACATGTACACGCACTAGCTCTTTCGATAACGCGCTAAAGTTAAAATTACTAGCGACGAATTCACTTACATGTTGACAAGTGAATTTTCTTTGGTCTTGGAATTAGCACAGCAATTGAATAGGTGGGAAAAATCTATCAATGTTACTACCACAATTCAGTCTTGTCATGTTGCACAGCCTTAGGATATAAACATCCTTCATAATCTTCGGGAATTCAGCAAAATCTAAATAGAACAATGAAAGGTGCACACAAATAAAGAGATACACTTATAACAATAAGTATACGACAGTGTCATAAAAGCGTGGCAGAGTTTTATGTTATATTTAAAGTTCATCTAATCAATGAATGCAATGGAAAAAAAAAAGTGTCGCTTCTCCATGAACCAGGTTTCTACGCGGCTGTTGAATAGCAGCAGCTTAATATTGCAGCACTGAATTTATTCCGTGTCCCCATCGCACAGATGTTTGCTTCTTCTAGTTTTCGTTAAAGTCTGCTTGGATAGGAAAGTTTTTTATTTCATTCCCAATCACAAGATATGTCGGCAGCCTCCTGACTTTACGAGAGCTGTTAGCTAGCTATGCTGACATTCTGCTTTCATAAAGGCAGTAAAAAAAAAAAAAATTAGCTTCTACTAAGTGAACTAAATGTGGGATTCCTAAAGTTAACTAAATCCGCATCTCAAGAGCTGAGTAAAATAATGATAGGACAATAGAGGGTCCCAGACAGAAAGGGAGAAAAATGTAGAACAAAATTCAAATTCACAAAAAAAGGCCAGACTTACTGGTCTGACAGAGACTGGAGGAACCCCGAGACTATAGCCCCCGGACACCCTGCTAACTCAGAACTGAAGCCACTTCTGAAGTCCACCTTTCAGCCAAAGATTAGACAAGGTGAGGAACGTGCTTCTTAATTCAACCAAGTATATGAGACCAAATCGGCAGCACTTGCCCAAAGGCAAAGACAAGAAAGCAGGAAGGGACAGAAAAGCTGGACAAACAGACACAGAGAACCCAGGGTGGGAAGGGAAAGGGGGATGTGCTGACACATTGTGGGGATTGCATCCAATGTCACAAAACAATGTGTTTAAATTTTTGAAGGAGAAACTAATTGCACTATACACTTTCACCTAAAACACACACACACAAAAAAAAGAGAGTTATTTCTTTAGGTTTCCAATGCCTTTGTGATACAACTCTGTCCAACATTAAAGTCTTGTTTTCTTTGAGGGGAGAGGGGATGAGGGAGAGACAGGGCAAAAACCAGAATGTCTATTTCCTCTCAATCCTAACCATGGAAGACAAAGAGAGGATGAGAGAGAAGAAAAATGAGACAGTAACTATTAAATAGTCTTCACTCAGAAGTGGGAAGAAAGAAAAACTACCTGGAAACTCGAAACACCACCTGCCTTTTGAGATATTACCTACATTTCGTGCCTTGCATCCCTTTCTTTCCACCCACAAGTCCCATTTCCCCAACCAGGACCTCACAAGCCCTGTGTAGCATCACAAGTTTAATATCAAATTCTTAATCGAATCATCAAGTGAAATAGTGAGGCTATTTTGTTTCCATTCAATTCAGTGAGCATCTATTGACCATCGTCTATGCGTTGCATTAACTATGCTCAGCCCTGGGCTGAGAGTTGGGGAGCACCATCTAGCAAGGGGCATATGTGTAACTAACAACAATACAGTGTGAGAAGTACTCCATTGGCAAAGTCCTCTGAAAGTACACAGGAAGGAAGTGCTTCATTCTGCCCAAGGTTTTCAGGAAGTGGAGCTATCCAAACATTCATAATTTTAAGTATAAATAAATATTTTGGCCCATGAAATTACTAAGATTACAACTTGTCATTTAAGCTGTTTCTTTTCTGAAAGTTTAGGTGCCCTGATTAAAAAATATTTAAAGATCTTTAAAAATCACTTATAAAAAAGTGTTTACTTATCATGTCACTCAAACTCAGTCTGGTATCAATATTTATCATTTATATAAGATAATAAAAATACATACAATAATAAAGAGTTTCAGAAGATACTATCTTCGTCTTAAGTCAGTTATCTTATTGGTTGAAATGATTATCATAAATACCCCTAAACAAATGTAATTAACTGAAGCATGCATTAGCATTGCATGTATTTGAACTTACAGACTAGTAATGAATTAAGAACAAGCAGGTAATAAGTCTAATTAATCAGATAGCTTAAAAATTAGTTCAAAATTAGATAGGAACAATGTCATAGTGAAAATTACATAAGATACATTTCAACACTGATAGCACAAATTCACATCCCTAGCCAAAATTTCAGGAAAGATTATTTAGTCTTTAATCAAGAAAAAATATATCCATCCTCCCACCATTAGTTCTTCCTTTAATTCCCCCATTTTTTCCTTTTTGCCTATAGAATCTGGAGTATTTAGGCAATGAACCCATTGCTGTTGAATCGATTCCAACTCACAAGGAGCAGCTGGTGAACTCAAACAGCTGACGTTTCGGTTAGCAGGCAAACACGTAAACCACTGTGCCACCAGGGCTCCTTAGGCAATAGATACTACAAATACTGAAGTATTTTGTAAATATACAGAAGTTAGGCAATAGATACTTCTATATATTTACAAAATACTTTAGCGACTCGAAAACCAATACCAATAAATTATATCCCTAGAACTCAGGTTTTTTGGTTGTATTTTTTTTTTACATATATAAAATACAAAGTGTAGGTATGTTCCCTACAATCTTGTAGAAGCTTCAGAATGAATCTGAGATTATTATCATTACCTTCTCATTTAAGGAAAAGTAATTAAACAAACCTGAGGTATAGTCAATGAAAATTAAGTAAAATTGAAGTGCCTGATGTAACTATTTCAAGCTTTTTAAATTTAATCACTATGTTAATCCATGTTTTTGCCCAGATAAATTTTTTCTTTTTTTTTTCTCCCCCTTTTTTTTTTTTAACTTTCTCAGGAGTAAAAACGGCTTAAAGAAGAGAAAGCTGACTAAGTAAGTTTCACTTGCTCGTTCGTTTTTTAAAATGTTCTTCCTCATAGTGCTCTTAACTTTCCAAATTCAAAAAGCAACTGTCTTTGACTAGAAGGAATGCTTAAGAAAGAGGCAAGCATGTATTACAATCGCTAGGTACAATGCAAAGTAGTGTGTTTGGCAGTGAGCAGTAAGACTGTGTATCATAGAAACACCATGTCAAAAAGAAGGAAAAGTCTTCCAAGATGAGATCGAAGAAAGAATAGTTGTTAGGGATTATAATAGCCTTGAAAAAGGGATTTCTAAATCTATAAAAATCGACCATTAAAGTTGTACAAAAACCTTTGCCATCTTGTATTTTGTAATGCTGTGCTTATTGCAGGGAAAAGCTTTTATTGAATTTGATGTTATAATAAATACTATGAGAAACACTGTCTCAGGAAACCTTTATAAGAAATAAAAAAGATAATTACTCTAGCTAGCCTGTGGTTTTGCTATCTACTGAACTGTTAGATCATAAGAATTATGGTTCTGGCAGGTGAAAATTAACCATTAGTTGATTTCAAAAGCCTAATTAGTTTATCACCTCTGGGCCTTTTCTTAGTTAAAACTCTACGTGTAAAGAGTGCAACGCTCGTATAAATACAGTTCATTCCTGATACTTGCTTAGGATAGAATGTTGGTGACTTAATGTAAGGAGACAATTAGGGACTCCAGCCAGGTCTATGGCATCCGTGCTAATGGAGAAAAATCACGGCCTGCATAATGTAAAAGAAAATTTGATGCAAAATATATTTCTATTTAGCCTCGGGTCGCATGTAATTTTATGGTATACATACATAACATAATCAAGTTTTTCGTAAATCTGTTTTTGTATCAAAACGTACTGCATTGGCGTGCAGACCCAAAGCCAGCCGGAATCGAGCAGAGATACCATCACCTACACAGAAAGACTTGACAGAAGCAAAAAATTTTGTTGCCCAACATAATTAGCTGAGTTTTTAAGTGAGCTAAAGGCATAGACTAGGGTAATTCGAGGACAGGTTTTCAGGGCAAAAGGTGGAGACTCTATTAGGGCGTGGTCCTCACAAGACCCAGGCAGAGAGAAGGAGAAGCAAGACCTGAGCAAAAAAGTTTTGGTAGAACGTGGGAGTGGTAGGACCAGCCCAAGAGCCAAAAACCTCAGGTCAGACCGGCTTCCTCTTTCCCTCTCCTTGTTTTTCTTTAAATCCTCCCTCCATCTCCAAAAGCCATTTATTGGGGGCTTTTTGCCTCGCCTTGACATTTACCTTCTCTTCACCTTTTCTCTTTCACTCCAAATGCCCCCCACCATCATGTCCCCTTGGCTCCCCTTTTCTATCTACAATTATCTTCGTTCCATTGCTCCTTTCCTTCCCCCTCTCTTTTCCCATTTCCCTTTAAATCCTTGCCCTGCTCCCTCTCAGCTCCCCTTCTCTCCTCCTTACCCCTCTTTTCCTTCCCTCCGTTTCTGTTTCTTGAACGTTCCTCTGTCTCTCTTCTCTATCTCCTTCCTGCTTTCTCTAACCCTTGAATATTTCCTCTGATTATCCTTCCTTATGAATGCTTCCATTTTCTTAGTAATGAGATGGAAACTAGAATTGTTAAACCCAACTTTAAGGTCAATGATCTGCTCAAAGACAGCAGCCAGGGGGTGCAGCCCTAATGGAGTTTGTTCCAGGATAGAAGCCCCTTCTTTAGTCATTCTTCTAGGAGGATGACAAGTTTGAAGTGGGAAAAGCTCTGAATCAGGAATCATTCTTTCTGGGTTCTAGACAGGTTCTACCACTTACTAGCCGTATGGTCTTGAATTACTTAACTTTCTCCGCCTTGGCTGTCTTTGGAGCATGAGGGTAATGTTGCCCATGTCTACCTCAAGGGTCAACCAAGCAAGATAACTTATGTAAGTATTTATTAACTGTAGACTAGTTTATGGCTACAGGGCATTATTGTCATTATTATTAAGTGAAAGTATTAAAGTATAAATGCATTATCTGGTGGGTACAATGCCCATTAAAATCTACTGATCCTTGACATGAATTAATTGATTAGATTAGTTAATTGACAACTTTAAACAAATATCTATTAAATTCTATGCATTTGCTAATATGACATAAGATGATAAATAGGTGATATAAACTGAGTAACACACAACAAAGGTGAAGGGAAGCAGAAGCAGAGAGCAGTTTGAGGGTGAGAAGGTTGGTGTAGGGAGACTCCAGAAGAGATAAGCAGCTACAGAAAACTACAATAAATGAAACTTAATTCTTATTCACCAAAACAACAACAAAAAAGAGGTGAGAACTTCTGCTACAGATGCCGAAACATAAGCTTGGATGTGTTACTTGATTGTACCTCTGAGCCATTTCTATACTTTTATAAGCATGCAAGCGTCTAAGCATAGCTCCTTTGAAATGAGTCACTGGGGACTTTCTGGACAAGTGCATCACCCCACTGACCTGCCTCTGCTCTGGGGAGACAGTGTATCTAGTACAAATCCTTATACTTGTAAAACTGTTTAAACTTACAAGGTTCTTTATTGTACTTTACCTCAACCTTGTGAGGTAGGGATGAATATAGTATAGTATTTTATAGTTAAGGACGCTGACTGCCAAGAGTCAAGTAAATTCTCCAAGATCACACACAAAAAATAAGTATTTAAACCAGAACTTAAATAGGTCTTTGGGCTGTCATCTTCATTTCTTTCTCATATACCAGAGTTTTCTAGAAAAACAACACATATGCATGTCCATATATGAGTCTTTACTCTTACTAGAGTAATTGCCAAGTGAAAATCTAGAGATTTCTCCCATCTCAAGAAAGTTTGATATGTAAGTCCCTCTTTTCAATTATAATATTTAGGAACTAATAACTTTAATGAAGAAAAAGGTGAGTTCTAACCTTTGAGAGGTAAAGCTTCTATTTTCTCTTCTATTTTACTTGTTTAAGAAGTGTGGTGTTAAACATCACATAATACATACCAACAGGATTTTTAAGACATGCATTTCTTTGTGTTTGATAAAGCCCGGTTCAGCTGGATGACTTTGATTCCTACATCAAGGATATGGCCAAAGACTCTGACTATAAATTTTCTCTTCAGTTTGAGGTGAGTGGGTAAAGTATTTCCTACCTTCAGTAATGGATGGGGCATGGGAATTGTTGGGTTTATATTGAGTCCTTCCCCTGTTCACTGGGCAGTGCTTGCGATGTGATGGTATAATAGGCAGAGTGGGTTGTTGAACCATACGTGCCTGATCTGTGGGTTCAGGGTGGAGGGTCATCAATGCTTGGTTAGTGGGCCAGGACTTGGATGATACAAATGAAGGGAAGGAAAGAATAGGGCAAGTGCTCAGGTAAGCAAACATAGGTATAGGAGAAGCTGTGGTGGAAAACCAGTGAAACGGGGAGTGAAGAGAGAAACAAGCTGAGGACTAAGGCCTGAGACAGAATTTCACTCTCAGGGGATATTTTGTCTGTTTCTCATGCCACTTAGGCCACAATGAGGGGTGAATGATGGATAAAACTGACCCTTTGTCTCCTGGGCAGAGAAGAGTCTGGGGCTTTTATAGTTGTAGGACACCTGGTGATCTACTGAATATGTATTTCTTTGTGAGGTTTCACTTTTTTCCTTGGAGAAATTGAGGAGAGAGAGTCACACATAGTTTGCGTAGGGAAGAAAACATTGCCAGTGTTTCATTTTTCTGAAACACACGTATTTCTTTGAGTCTAAGACCATGGGTCAGAGTAGATGGACATGAGTAAGTCTAGGATCGCAGCAGTGGGGGAATGAATATACCTGGGCCTCCCTCTTTCTTCCCACATATTTCATTAGCACAGTCTGGACAGCCTCACACCCTTCTGGTTTCTGTAGCAGTTCAGGTGGTCAGTGATTCGGGGACACCAGGGAAAAGGAAAGGATAAAGTGACTTTCCTAAGGACCGTGGTGCTTTTATTTTTAAGCCTCCTAAGTGCTCTTTCCTATGAAACATTATGTTGTAGAATGTAGCTATTTTCTTCTCATTCTTCTTACTTATTTCTTCTTTCCCCTCATTAGCCAAGGTCAGCTTTGGTCTGCAAGAAGTAGCAATAGACCTGGTGTGGATATTCTAACAAGGGATTTGAGGAGGAGAAGAATCTCATACATTATCAAATACCATACCCCCTAAATACCACCTATGTCATGAAATTCTCCACAGGGCCTGGCTCAGTTACCCATTGCATACAGGTGCAAAAGAAACAATAGATGTTATACTAAATACTGTATATCAGAGAACACTCGGGTTTTCACTACTGTTTTGCTGCTAATTAATACTGAAAATATCACAATTTCCCATCACCTCAATTCCATCATCTATAAAATGGGTAGGTAGATTGAACTAGATCAATGGTTCTCAACTGGGCCAATATGAGTTCCCTAGGGGGAGTTTGGAAATCTATGGAAGTGTTTTTGGTCATCAAAATGACTTGGAGGGTACTAGTGGTACTTAATAAGGGAAGGAACAAGGATGCTAAATGTTTTGCAATGAGTGGGACAGTCCTACCCAGCAAAGAATTGTCTCATTGAGAAACACAGGACTAGATGATGTTGAGGATGCATCCAAGCTTTATAACCCATGATCTGAAGAAGTGTTTAGTATTTTTGTTATGAAAGTTTTTTTTTTTTCCATATATCTTTGTTCTTAGAACATGATTGGTCATTTATGCAACTTATTTAGTGTGAAATCCTGACCTTGTATCCATGTTCTGGTGGGAAGATACCTCCAGGAGTCTGTTTTAAAGCACAGGCTCAGATTGTATGTTTTGGACTAGTATTTGCTCAAGCAGTGAGTAACTGGTCTGACTCACTTCCTTTCTTATTCGACAGGCTCCCAGGCATTGCCAACCCCCAGCTCTGCCCTCTCCCCACATCCTCGGGTTCAGTGTCAGAGTATCTTCATCTGTTTCCAAAGAAACATTGTGTTCCCATGCCTAATTTCAGGGTGCATGTCGGGCCTTTCACGTGGCAGCCCTCAAATTCTCCTGAAATATACTGATAGTTAATTGAAGTTGAATGAAGAAACATTTCCTGCTGTAATGGGAACCCACGAGGGTGGCAAGATGGCTGAACCAGCTGGTTTAGCTAAATCCAATAGTTGAAATGTTGTTTGTTTTGTTTATATTAATGCTTAGGATTTGTATTCATTTTGATACTCACACTGAAAGAGCACACTCACATTGAGAAATTGCATCATTTATAAGCATTATACAAACTGAAACGAATGTCTGAATTTACCTGTATTACCAATACAGCTATAAGTCATACAGGAAGCTATATGAGTTGCTTATTTGCATTCACTGAATAAATACTTTTTTCACTCTGCATCTGATTTTGAGTCTGTTGGAAAGATTTATTATCCTTCTGTTGAAAATACACATCTTTTCTTAAGGAGGTTTGAGACTCAGGGATTAGTTTCAATTCCTCGTGTTTTATGTTTTGTATGTAAAAGGTTTTGAAGAACCAGGCTTTAGAGAATGAAATTTGAGAACTCACGTGACATACCACATACTGCTCATTCTTCCACTGATTTCTGCCCTTTGTGTTTAATCAGGATGCTAGTAAAGGCCCTCACTATCTCTGTTCAGAAATGTGGCTGGAAAGATCAAAACAAAACTCCTTGTCACGCAGTTCACGAGAGATGACCTGGGATTTCTGGAAGTAGCTGCCATTTGCCGCTGTTTTTATTGTGTTGCAGCCCAGTTCATTGGAAACCTACCTACAGTCAATTATGAAAGCCAGCATTTCCTTAATGACACACCGCAGGCTATTCTGGTCACTGAGTTCATTCTAACCTTCTCCAGTCAAGCTCAAACTAAAGATACAAAGTCCTTCCAGTAAAAGACTTAGCCTGTGGCTGACCTCCCCTACTCCTAGCCCTCTGATCTTGATGTAAGAGGGGAAATACGTAAGCCTTTCATGACTATCTCTCAGTGATTTGAAAATAAGTCCCCCTCAACCCCCGCCAACAGTTTTTGTACACGAGGTCTTGGTTTGTTCCTATGCCTAAGTCTTCCCGCCTTCCTTCCTTCCATTCCTTATGTCCCAAGGGCCTGGACTAGTCATTTGTCCAGTGGCTAAGGTGCTGTCCCTCAATTCCACCTAGTGTCCAGGGCAGGTCATGCTAGCTATTGCTAGACTTTTCTGACACTGACTTCCTTCTCACTTAGTCTTCTACTACCCACCCCAGATTCCCACTGTTACTGTACCCCAGACTTTCTCTGGGGCACTTCACCAGCTACCTTGTTCTAAATCCTCTTCTCCTTTTGTTGTGTTGCCCAATTCCGTTGGACCTTTTACTGGCCCGTAAGGGAAACTGTTCTATCAACACCACTGGGTGTGTCAGTTCTCCTCACCTGTTCTGCCCTTATGGGTGAGTCGTCTAGTGATACAGATCATCTGTCTCTACTGTCTAATCTATTCCCAAACGCCAGGGGCTGTCACCTGCTGACATTGTTAGAAACTCTTAGACCAGACTGTCACTTGTTTTCTTCTGAGATGATGATGGTGCCTATGTTAGTGCTTTCATTTTTAAGACTTGTATGCTTCAAACACAGCCAACACAACACAGACTGCCACAGGGCTTGGATGACTGTGTGATCTGGGAAACAAAACTGATAGGAAATTATTTTACAAACAAAATTAGCAAAAGAAAATGCAAACTTGATTTATGTTGGTTTCAGGCTATCACCACATATTTTGCCTTCCTGAAGATCAAGCCTCTGGAGTTTCCATATGGTTGGAAAGAAAATAACTGCAAAGCTACTGGACTGGAAACTTAGTATTTGCTTTACCACTTAGCGCCAGACTAAACTACAAAAGATTGCAAAGCATTTTGTATATACATGCAGTTCCTGCTTTGCTGCAGTTCAACTTTGGCAATTTACATTTACACTGCTCAGCCAATTAAATCTCTCTTATCAATTTAGGGCATTTACAGCAGGGAGGCAACACACAATTAAAGTTCTCTCAGTTAGTCAGCTTCCATCTGTGCTCCAGCGCTCAGCCTCAATCTGTCTCCACAGTTTCTCTCCTATCTGAGGCCTTTTCCTGCGGTTTATCAGTCTGTACCCGAAGCAGGGGGAGCCGGGGGGAAAGTTGTTGGTCTGTTGGAGCAAATGGCAAAGGAGGGAGAAGTTACGGAGTCAGGCTCAGCAAAACAAAACAAAGAATCATCCTTAGTCTTCTACCTGATCATAGCAGAAGCATCTTCACAAGCGTTGGCAACAGTGATGCATTAATAGTTGTTCCGTTCAATGACTCCATTTGATAGTCACTGTAATCCAGTGAGGTAGGGAGGGATTATTAGCCTTATCTTACAGATACTTAAACTGATGTTAGACAGTTGGACTATTTGTCCAAGACCATACAGATTATAAATAGTACATCATTATAAGCCAGATATTTCAATAAATTATCTGTTAAAAAACCCATTGCCGTCAAGTCGATTCTGATTCATAGCCACCCTCTAGGACAGAGTAGAACTGCCCCATAGGGTTTCCGAGGAGCAGCTTGTAGATTCGAACTGCCAACCTTTTGGTTAGCAGCCATAGCTCTTAACCAATTGTCTACAGAGGCCCTTTTTAAAGAAGGTTTCTTAAGCTTTTCAAATTATTTTATGCAATGGAAGTATCATTTAGTTTATAGCTGAAAAAAGAAACTAACTTAAAAATAACACTAATTTGGTTTCAGTTTGTTAAAGTCAGTTTTGTTTCTTACAAGAACAATATAGTCAGTCTTTGAAAACCTTAAAATGGAAAAATCAGTTATAAAGTTAACAATCTTCTGTTTAAAGACATTTAGTAAGTAAGGGTTTGGGCTGAGAAGGAAAAACTTCTAATTTTGTGAATTGAGGATCATACTCGGCAGAGTATGTCTTTAAGACGGCTGCAAATTAGGCCAAGGAGTTGAGTTTTGGGGTTTTGTTTTGTATCTTGAAAAGCAAAAAGTGATGAGGAAGAGAGAAATCCAGGCAATTGGGTTGGTTCACGTGTCTTGACTGGAGGCGTGGAACCCAGTGCCAGTAAGTACAAGGGGAAGTTGCTACCAAGAATCTTCTATTTTAAAGCAGCAGAAGAGCCAAGAAGCTGATTTCTAAAGCTTATGCTTTTTCACAAAAACTTGAATCAAGACACAAATGGCATGAAAGAGAAATCCTTGTTCAATCTCTTGAAACATTGTCGAATGTCTCCAACCCCCTTCAAAAGTCTTTCGAAGACTCTCCAAAATTCTCCCCCAGAGAAGTACTGCTCCAGCTTATGATTTGTTGAAGTAATAATTGGGAGGAATTATGACTAGTAAACCTTATGTGCGATATTAACATCATCCTATAAGCATAAATAAAATGTACAGCAAGTGGTTTCTGTACTGCCTCACTTAATAGACTTACAGAGAGACGCAGGCTATATAGGTAATCCCATTTGTAGGTAGTTAAAATGCTTCCTACTAATAGTTCTCTAAAATGTGGTCATAAGTCCTTGTTCAGGAATATAACTAGAGCTACCGCCTGCTGCTACATTGGTTGCTCCCTGTAAAACTCCAGAGAGCACCATTCACATAGACCCCACCATGAACAATGCCCCAGGGAAGCTCAGGTGGCACTGCCACAACCCCTCTGTTTCCTGTAAGATAGGAGGCATAGCAACCCATAAACCCCGTTTTCCAGTAACATAGACTTTTTTAAGTGTGATGATTGTCTATCTATATTAAAAATTGCACTAACAGTGTACCCTCTAGTAATAGGATTTGTAAGAGTACTGGTAGATAAGGCAGATATTTGGATGTTCTTATTTTCTACTGAAGGATTTGCCTATCACTACTGATTCAAACTTACTTTTGAGGCTTCGTTACCAGATAGTTAGTAACTGTTAACCCTGTATCTTGCATTGTGGAGATTACTCCCTACCTATTGCTCCTTACCCAGTCTTTTACTACTTTCTGGAAAGCTCGAAGGCTCATTGCCTCCAGGAAAAATATCCAGATTTTCTCATAGAATTGATAATATTTATGCAAATTGCATGCATTTCAGTTACCTCATACCTCCAAAAGTCTGAAAGGAATTTCTGTTTTCAAATCTCCCACACCTTGAGTGTTATGTACAGAATTCTTACCTTCCCCAAATGATCATCAAGCTATCTATTATGAACTGTATTAACCATTGCTGCAATAAGCTGTAAAAGAAACAACCTTGACATCCCTGTGGCCTACATTTATTTCTTTTTCACACGCGTCTATGGACAGCAGGGGCAGTGCTGCTACAGGCTGTGTGTCAGAGTTAGGTCAGCTCCACATGTCTCCTCATTCTGAGACCAGCAGCTCCCTGGGCATTGTCTTCTCATGGCAGATGGCAGAAATACAAGAGGGCAAAACAAACCAAGCAAGCACATGTCAAGCCTCTGACTATACATGAGCTCTACCTAAGTTCATTGGCCAAAGCAAGCTAATAACAGTAGGGCAGAGAAGAACACCCTTCCCAAAGGGGAAGCCACGGCAAAGTCATATGACAAAGGAGTGTGATAATTCTTTGACATGCGGTGAGTGAAGACTTGTGAACAATTATCCAATCCATACCCTATATGTAAATCTCATAAATCCATTCTTTGTGATTTACAGGATTTGAAATTGATTGGACTGGATATTCCACATTTTGCTGCAGATCTTCCACTGAACCGATGTAAAAACCGTTACACAAACATCCTACCATGTAAGATCTTCAATAGTGCCCGTTCTGCTCAGGTCTTATAAAGTTTGAAGGACCACCATTATTGCAGATTAATCAGTCTTGCCAGTCTCTAGCCAGAGCCAGCTGTGGTCTGGACCCTCAAGGCCATGTCTGGAAGTACAGTGAAGTCATTGACGTCTTTTGTGCTTTGACGACAGACCTCTATTGTGTGTTAGGAAGATTTTGCATATGATTGAAGACTGACCATTTGGTCCTTTGGAGATCAAAACAGTCTCAGTCAAGTTGGAGATCAAATAATTTGTGCTCTCCTAAGATTATTTTCTTTCCATTTATTAATGATGGGAGAAAGTTAATAGAAAGGGAGTGGAGTGTATTAACTTGCTTCTGGCAAGTTACGTTGTTGCTTGGAATTTTGTAATAAAAACAATATTCCAGGAGAAAAAAAGGGATATAAAGTACTAGCTGTTGTTGTTGTGTGCCATCAAGTTAATCTCGACCCATAGTGACCATATAGAACAAAGCAGAACTGCCCCGTAGAGTTTCCTAGGCTGTCACCTTTACGGGAGCAGATGGCGAAGTCTTCTCTCCAACAGAACGGCTGGTGGGTTTGAACCACCGACGTTTTGGTTACCAGCCTAGCACTTAACTATTACACCTTCAGGGCTCCTTATAAAGTACTTTTAAGACAATTAAAATACATTCAAATATAAATTTAACTTTCCTTTCTGCTACACTCTAGGAGGAACTGGGAAAGAATGGAGATGTGAGAAGAGAGGCTGAAAGTGCTTTAGAAAGAGAGCTGTCTCCTTGATAATATTTCGTGATAAAATTTGGTAGTAACAACATAAAACACCGTACATCTGTATGCATTTCAAAACGTACTTTTTTCTTTTAAAGCCCATCAATTAAAAAGCCCCATAACTTCATCTTTTTTTCTCAAGGCCTCCCCAAGGTAGTGAATTCTCTGGCTAGCCCTAGGTGAAATGAAAATCATAATTTTAGGCTAGATACTATTGCCTCCCATGCAATCTACCAGACGTTTTAGATCCTGCAAATATTCTACACAATCCTCAAAAAACTGGAAACAATTCTTCCAAGGACATGAAAGCGGGTGGGGAGAAAATAGTGCATTTATTTAAACAAGAAACTAAGATTGAGGTATGACTAAAATATGAGACGAAAAAGAATTTACGTACTATATCACCAACTAACTTGACTTGATATTGGGTAGAGAGGGTCAAGATAATTCTCCCTTCCATCTTGATTTTTAATATTTCTTTTCTTCCTAACTCTTTATAGATGACTTCAGCCGGGTGAGATTAGTCTCCATGAATGAAGAGGAAGGTGCGGACTACATCAATGCCAACTATATTCCTGTAAGTAAATTAAAAAAAAAAAAAATCAGGCATCCAAATGCGAACCCAGTCAGTGGAATACAATTCAGAATAATACATGGATGTGTCAAACAGTTAAAGAAGAGAACCACTCTCTACCCAACAATCCAACTCTAAAGAACAATTTCCACTATTCCATTTCAGAATAGATGATAGGGGAATAAAAAACAAAAAAGCCCATACATTAGCAATGTTCATATTTCTTTGTAAAGGATTAGTTAAAGGGAAGAGAGATAATTATGCTAAAGATCATTTTCTTTTTTTGCATTTAAATGCCAATTTCAGCAACCAAATGGAAAGTTCTCCACTTGAGCACCTGTACTTGTAACATCTATAAAGATAGTAGCTATTATGTGTATATAGATATATAGAGATAGATATATAAAAGGTGTGGCTGTGATATGTGATTTTATAAGCTTCCAGAGAGCAATGCTTAAAATCATACGGACATATATGGTCAGTTAAATACACTGACTGCTTTTTCTTTTTTTTTTTAAATTGTGCTTCAGATGAAGGTTTACAGAGCAAATTAGTTTCTCATTAAATAATTAATACACATATTGTTTTGTGACATTGGTTGCCAACCCCATGACATGTCAACACTCTCCCCCTTCTCGACCTTGGGTTCCCTATTACCAGCTTTCATGTCCTCTCCTTGCCCCTGGGTTGATATGCTCATTTAGTCTCATTTTTTTTAATGGGGCTGTCTAATCTTTGGCTGAAGGGTGAACCTCAGGAGTGAATTCAATACTGAGTTAAAAGGGTATCTAGGGCCATACTCTCAGGGTTTCTCCAGTCTCTGTCAGACCACTAAGTCTGGGTTTTTTTGTTTTGTTTTGTTTTATTTTTTTTGTGAGTTAGAATTTTTTCTACATTTTTCTCCAGCTCTGTCCAGGACCTTCTATTGTGATTGCTGTAGGAACAGTCAATGGTGGTAGCCAGGCACCATCTAGATGTACTGGACTCAGTCTGGTAGAGGCTGTGGTACTTGTGGTCCATTAGTCCTTTGGGCTAATCTTTCCCTTGTGTCTTTGGATTTCTTCATTCTCCCTTGCTTCTGAAGGGGTGGGACCAGTGGAGTATCTTAGATAGCCACAAACAAGATTTTAAGACCCTAGATGCTACTCACCAAAGTAGGGTGTAGAACATTTTCTTTATAAACTATGTTATGCCAGTTGAGCTAGATGTCCCTCAAGACCATGGTCACCAGCCCTCAGCCCAGTAATTTGGTCCCTCAGGGGGTTTGGATGTGTCTATGAAGCTTCCATGGCCTTGCCTTGATCAAGTTGTACTGACTTCCCCTGAGACAAGAAGAACTAGTTGGTGCCCAGCTACCACAATGACCGCCTTGAGGAACACAAAGGAGATTCCCTGATGGAGCAGGAGAAAAGAGGGATGCAGAACTCAAATTCTAGTAAAAAGACCAGACTTAATGGTTTCATTGAGACTGGAGGGACCCTGGAAGACATGGCCCCGCACTGCCTCTTGGCCCAAAACTAAAACCATTCCTGAGGCCAACTCTTCAGACAAAGATGAGACTGGACTACGGGACATAAAATGTTCCTCGTGAAGTATGCTTCTTAGCTCAGGTAGATACATGAGATTAAATGGGCAGTTTCTGTCCAGAGGCAAGATGAGAAGGCAGAGAAGGTCAGGAGCTGGTTGAGTGGACACTGGAAATCCAGGATGGAAAAGAGGAGTGTGCTATCACAGTATAGGGAGAACAACAAGGGTCACAAAACAATGTACGTATAAATTTTTGTATGAGAGACTAACTTGAATTGTAAACTTTCACTTAAAGCACAATTGAAAAAAGAGAGAGAGAAAAAAAAAGTTGTGCTGACTTCCCCAGTATCATGTACTGCCTTACCCGTCACCAAAGTTACCACTTATCTATTGTCTATTTAGTATTTTTCCCTCCCCACCCCTTCCCTTCCTCATAACCATCAAAGATTGCTTCTCTTTGTGTGTAAACCTTTTCATAAGTTCTTATAATGGTGGTCTCATACACTATTTGTCCTTTTGTGATTGACTTATTTCACTCAGCATAATGCCGTCCAGATTCATCCATGTTTGCACTGACTGGTTTTTTGACGAACAAAAGAGAAAACTTTCCATCAGTGTGTAATCCTTCACCAGGTTTATTGCCCGTTAATTTTCAGTTTCTTCTCATTTGTGTGGAATAGCATTTGGTGTTGACAGCGGCTCATTAGGTGACACTTTTGTCACTTACCTCTCAGGGATACAACTCACCCCAGGAGTATATTGCCACACAGGGGCCGCTGCCTGAAACCAGAAATGACTTTTGGAAGATGGTCCTACAACAGAGGTCTCAGATTATTGTCATGCTCACTCAGTGTAATGAGAAAAGGAGGGTAAGTATCTAAGGGGGTCTTTCTTACTTACCAACAAAACCAGCAGTAGCTGCTGCTGTCGATTGCTTCCTGTGTAGCAGAAGAATGATGGCTAACCGAAAGGTCAGCAGTTTGAAACCACCCCCAGCTCCGCAGGAGAAAGATGTGGCAGTCTTCCGCTTCCACAGAGATTTACAACCTTGGAATCCCTACGGGGTGGCGATGAGTCGGAATCAACTGGACAGCAGTGGGTGGGTGTGTGCAGCAGAAACTCTCTACCTGCTTTATTTTTCATCCTTGCAAAGGTTCCATACAACGGCAGGCGCCTTTGTTTTCGCCTAAGGAAGCACGGGCCTCATTTCTTCCCCCTGTTTGTTTGACGAGGTTGTGGTATCTTCCCCTTAGGTGAAATGTGACCACTACTGGCCTTTCACGGAAGAACCCATTGCTTACGGGGACGTCACCGTGGAGATGATCTCAGAGGAGGAGCAGGATGACTGGGCCTGTAGACATTTCCGGATCAGCTATGTAAGTCCCAAAGCTTAAGCTGTTGCCCCGGGCTGAGGGAATCCCCCACAAGTGTCAGGACACCGCCATGTCAGACCACGCGCACTTCAGGTTTCGAAGCTCTTCTTCCTTGAGGAGAAAAATTCCGCTTCTAATCCTTCCCATTTCATTGAGAATGGTATGCATGGAATGGTTGGCCTGAAGGGCCAGAGGAAATGGAAAAAAAAGCCTTCACCTGTCCCATCTCAGGTTAGCCCAGGGCGAGATGACATGGTTAATTATTGCTTACCAGGTTTGATTGAGGAAGGAAGTGTACTCGTTACATATATTAACCACATATGAGTATAATTAGGATCTACAAGGTATGCTTAAATTTGAAATTAAATATTTAAAGCATGATTTAGTGGCTTGAGTTTTGGTTTTTCCATATTTTGTTTGGTTTTGGTTTTGATTTTTTTGGAAGGTACTTCTAGGCCTACTGATCATGGTTCCATACATCTTTTGAAGTGTTACTGATTTCTGATTGTTAGAGTGTCAGAAAAGTCTGTGTTTTCCATAAGACTGGCTATCTCTCTGATGGCAAGCCTTTGAATACATATTAAATGTTTCTCTCCAGCCTTCGGAGATATATTGTAGGTTCTCGCATCAACCAAAATTACCCTGTTTCCTTCTTCACATAGAACAGTCCTCAGGAAACAAAAGAGAGTTTTTACTAGTATTTCCCTTTTGAACATGTCCCCTGCTGAGGACCGAGTTTAACAGAAAAGTTCTCATTAAAATGTTATTCACTAAAATTTTGGAAATGAATAGTGGTAATAGTTGCACAACATTGAGTGTATAATTAATTCCACTGAATGTTACACTTAAAAAATGTTAAAATGGCAAATTTTGTTATATATAATTTACCAGAATGCAATCAAAAGAAAGAAAATGTTATTCCCTCCTTAGAAACAACCCTTTCTAATGTATGTATTACAGTATTTGAAGGCAAACTGTGGCCCGTGGACCAAACCCACCTGCCACCAAAGGCAAGCCAAGAATGGCTTTTACATTTTTAAATGGTTAGAAATTTTTTTTAAAGGACGATATTTTATGACGAAAATTACCTGAAATTCAAATTTCAGGGTACGTTAAAAAAAATGCTATTGGAACGCACCACGCTCCCTGGTGGTGCAGCGGTTAAGCATCCGGCTGCTAACCAAAAGGTTGGCAGTTCAAATCCATTCACCGCTCCTCGGAAACCCTATGAGGCAGTTCTACTCTGTGCTGTAGGATCGCTATGAGTCGGAATCAACTTGACGGCAATGGATTTGGTTTATGGCTGCTTCTGTGCTACAGCAACAAGCCTGAGTAGTCGCAAGAGACCTTAGGACCTGCAGAGCCTGAGGTCACTGTGAGTCGGAATCAACGGGATGCCAACTAACGCAACCACAGCCCTTTACAGAAAACGTCTGCCAACCTGAACATAGACAATGCAAGCGAAGAGTGTCCATAGCAACCCAACGTAAGCACCCAGTACCAGACAAAACCTGTTGCTATCCAGTCGATTCCAACTCATAGCGACCCTATTGGAACAGAGTAGAACTGCCCCATAGGGTTTCCAAGGAGCAGCTGGTGGATTCGAACTGCCGACCTCTTAGTTTGCAGCCAACTCTTAACCACTGCGCCACCAGGGCTCCGCAAGCACCCAGTAATTATCTAGTATTTTTAGTAATTGATAATTCTTAACCACTGGCCGTTAACAATGGCTTTTACTGCAATGAGGATTTAGGCATATTCCAGTCTGACTGTAAAAGACTCTGCTTCATGCTGTTCCATTCTTTGAAAATCTCATCTCTTCCTTGCTCACAAAGTATAGGTTTCTACTCAAACACAGTTTCATCTCCAGTGTCACTCCCTTTGTTCAGCCTTCCGTGGTCTCAGAAGCAGCTAACTCTTGCCCCTTCTTCTCCTGGAGTCTCCCGTGCTGTGCTCTATCACAGCACGCACAGACGGCCACAACTCTCTCGCTGTATGTCTGCCTCCCTGGTAGACTGTGAGTTTTAGGAGCAAGTACCCCGTTCTAATAATCTTTGTCATCTCAACCCTTATCCACTTAATAAATCCTTGCGGAATAATAAGTGAGTGAACAAACGAATGAATGATTTCAAAAATAATAAAGCATTGGCAAAGCATCCACAGTTTTTCCATTAGAGAAAATATTTGACACTGTGAATGCCATTTGAACGCTGCTTGCTTTCTTGGCTATTTCAGCCAGGAAGCAGTACAAACTGCTAGACAGATAGGGAACAAATGTTTCCCTACCATCGCATCCAAGAGGGGAAAAAAGAGCAAGGCACAAGATAGGGTCTGTTCTCATGCTTATTCCCTTGTGCACAGAGAAGAATCAAATAGATCACTGCGTGGTCAATACTATGCTTCTCGTCCGTGGTCTTAAAAGATGGCCTGTCTTACAATGACACCATGTCAAGGACTTAAAAAACAGGAATGAAACATCGAATAATGGTGTTTGTACAGTTGTTGCTAGCGTCCAGTACTAGAGCGCCCTCTATTGGCCGTAAACATACATAATCTAAGTTTTAAGCTCTTGCAATGAAGGTGCCATTGCCAAAGCACATTGTGCTGTGCTAAGGAATGTGTTTTTCTATTTGTTTAATTTGCTTGTATTGTTCTTTATTCCCCCCATACTGATATGTGGAAACTTTCAGAGTACAAAAAATATATAAATTACATAAATGAGTAAGTCAGGGTAAGAGGATTTAGGAATGGGCTAAGTAAGATAAAGAGAGCCCTGGTGGTGCAGTGGTTAAGAGCTATGGCTGCTAACCAAAAGGTCAGCAGTTCAAATCCACCAGCTACTCCTTGGAAACTTTATTTTGGAAACCCTGGTGGCGTAGTAGTTCAGTGCTACGGCTGCTAACCAAAAAGTCAGCAGTTCGAATCCACCAGGTGCTCGTTGGAAACTCTATGGGGCAGTCCTACTCTGTCCTATAGGGTTGCTATAAGTCGGAATTCACACAAGGGCAATGGGTTTTTAAGTAAGATGAAACCAGAAGGGTTTTCTTATTTAACAAGAAAGGAATAAAATGATTATAACGTAAAACTTATATCTTTCCAGTACTTAAAACTTAGCATGAACTGAGTAAGAACTGGAAACTGAAGATCAGCAAAAAAATTATGTGTTCCCACTGGCCTTGGGCCTCGCTATTCAGCCGCCCCTTGCCTTGCATTTGTGGAGACACAACTGGAAATTTAAGTGTTTCTCCTTTTTGAACCACCTTGCACTTTTTACCTGGATACATTTTCAGATCAACTGTATCGCAATATATGTATCGCCTACAACGTATACATCCTGTGCTAAGCCTGTGAAGAGCTCTGAACACGATGAGCATTTTCATGAACTTTTCTAGGCAACCAAAGTTCTCTAGTGGCTGAGGATATACTTGCATACTCATAGTGTTAAATAATTAAGTCATTCTGCACAGTTTATGATGCCTGGGTTACTCTCTTGTCATGCTTCCTGAAGACAGTGGTGCGAGTGGGCATCTTTGTATACTTCATGCTTGGTGTGTCTAAGAAAGAGCCCTTGAACCTAGTGAGGGAGTCCCTGCATACTGCTGGGGACAGATGGCCTTGGGTACCAAGGGGACAGGGATCTAGCTGAATTTCTGGTTTATTTATATTTATGCAAATGTTATCATACACTTATTGATATTTGTACAAATTTTGCTTCACCCAAGACCACTGATTCTTTGGAATTCATTTCTCTGACCCTAAACTTTATTTCCAAATTCATAGCCAGGCCAAACTCTACCAAATTATGATACAATATTTCATCTTCTCAGTGGATTCTAGACTCTTAACAAGTTTGGAGGATGAGGGATGAGTTAAATCTTCATAAGGCCTGGGTTTGGAACATTTCTGAGAGTTGATAACAAGATAGTAAATCCTTATTCTTCAAATTGGGAGGGACTGAAATGGATTTTGAATGACCCACATCCTAATCAGTGTATACTCAGTTCAGAGGGAACCACAGTTTATTTGAAGTACAAGTTAATTTGAGTAGGATAAATATATAAAATATACTCACTTACTAGATATTTCCAGAGCCAGCCATACAAACGTGCTGAGGGGATCGGAGTGAGTGGTAGTAATTGTGTTGTATCAGTAGTAACAACAGAGTAGAAATCGGCTCGGCAGCACCTAACAACAACAGGTACTGAGTGCTTACATGCCATCCTTCACAAATATGATCACACTTAATCCTCACAACAACCCTGCTTACAGGTATCATTACAGGACTCGTCTTAGAGATGAGAAAACTGAAGCTCAGCAAGTTTGTCTTGGGTCAGTCCCCTAGCATCAGAACCCAAGACAAGGATTCTTGTATAAGTGGTTTTATGAGAGTGTAATCTCAGGTGGAGTCCCTGGGCAGTGCAAATGGTTAACACATTTGGCTGCTCACCGAAAGGTTGGAGGTTCAAGTCCACCCAGAGGCACCTCAGAAGAAAGGCCTGGCGATCTACTTCAGAAAAGTCAGCCATTGAAAACTCCATGGAGCACAGTTCTACTCTGACCACATGGGGTCTCCATAGGTCGGAGTCAACTGGACAGCAACTGGTTGGTTCATCCCAAGTACAGCCTGTAAAGGAGCAAGGGAAGCAGGATAGGACAGGGGAAGAAGCTAAACAGCTGTGGGTTCAGCCTGACCCAATGGAAAGTATACAAACATGACTGGCATCACAGAGTTGGCCCACCATGAGACGAGGGACTTTGTGTGTCCCAACATCAGGCAGTCATTAGCTGCAGGCTGCCCTCGGCAGAAGGATGTAACCTCCTAGGCATTTTCTAGCAAGGCAGTTCCCTTTGCCATTGAGTGGTTCTGACTCACATTGACCTCGTATTGACAGTGCAGAACTGCCCCATGGGGTTTTCTTGACTAAAACCTTTATAGAAGCAGATCGCAAGATTTTTCTCCCATGGAGTCACTGGGTGGGTTCGAACCGCCAACCGTTTCAGTTAGCAGACGAGCGTTTAAACATTTGCACCACCAGGGATGTTTGCTCCCTTTAATGGAGAGCAATTATCAGGAGAAGGGTACAGCTGTGCGTGGCAGCAGCAGCTGGGAAAGGGGTGCACCAGCCTGATAAAGGGGATTTGTCCAAAGCTGACATAGCTTCTCAGTGTCAAGGCCAGGATCCAAACCCTCATCCTCTTAAGCTCTTGTCCCTAACTACGCAGGCGTGGATTAGCTTATTTATCCTACTACTAGAAGATTTTATACCATTAATATTTTTTTCAGGCCTACTTTGTGCCAGACACAATACTGGAATGGAAAGTGCATCCGCCAGGAGTACAGCGTGACTTTATCTCCTCACACCATTAGTGCGTGATCTTGCAGGGAGGCCTGGGCCATCCTGACTGTGGACTGAGAGCTGATGCTTCTCTTTACCTTTTTTCCTAAAGGCTGATGAAATGCAGGATGTGATGCATTTTAACTACACTGCGTGGCCTGATCATGGTGTGCCCACAGCAAATGCTGCAGAAAGTATCCTGCAGTTTGTACACATGGTCCGACAGCAAGCTACCAAGAGCAAAGGCCCCATGATCATACACTGCAGGTAATTTGCTGTTAAGCACCAGGGGCTTTGTTTTGTGAAGGAAATAGCCCACCATTCCATAAACCCCTAGTCAGATTTCATTCACAATTAAATGAAATTATGATTTTTTTTAATTTAATATAATTTTATTTTTGGTGAAATACCCCATTTAACAATTTCTACACATATTATTCAGTAACATTGGTTACATTCTTCACATTGTGTCCATGTTCCATTGTTTCTACTCTAGTTGTTTCACCCCATTAATTTATACTCACTGCCCCCTAAATTTCTCATCATTGCTTCAGAGTTACTGTTGCCCCTTTGGTCTTAGGAAGTTTTGTTGTTGTTGTTATTATTTTTTTAAGCGCAATGTTTAAGGATAACATTCTTTACTTTTTGAGCTAAACTTTTTGTTTAGTTTTTGTTTAAAGATGATTTCAGGGGATAATATCGTTTCAAGATTTGAAAAGCATTACAGAGTAATAGTCTCGAGGGTGAAGTTTTGATTTTTTTAAGCCTGCAATTAATTGATGTCTTATTATATACATAATTAATTTATAATGTAGTTATCCTTTATCCAGAGCCCTGGTGGCCCAGTGGGTTAAGAGCTTGGCTACTAACCAAAGTGTCAGCAGTTCAAATCCACCAGCCACTCCTTGGAAACCCTATGGGGAAGTTCTACTCTGTCCTATAGGGTTGCTATGAGTCAGAATTGACTTGACAGCAAGGGGTTTTATCCTTTATCCAGGAGGTAAGTATTATTTCCACTTTCAGATAAAAAAACTGAGGCGTAGAAAGGTTAACGGATCCACACAGTTTCATACAAGTAGAGTGTGGAGGAGTGAGGATCAAATCCAGGCATGCCAGTCTCCAAAGGCCACGCTAACAATCACTATGTATTATTACTCTATTCCAACAAGGATTCTGAGTGGTTTACAACACAGACAAATGCAAGGTCAAATTATAAATAGTTCATCACAGCCCACAATAATATAAATAGGCACAAAAGCAAGATGAGGGAAAGGAAAAAACAATGAAAATATTCAGCTCATTAACAGAAACGCATTTGCTACAGCTCTTCAAGTTTGTCACTGAATTTCCAGAGAGCTGAAATGAAAGGGGATATATCATCCAGTCCACTGTCAAAACTCAAGGACCACACTCGTTCTTTATGGGAAGAGTTATTTTTGAATTTAAGCTTTCCTTTCCACCCAGTGCACAAAGCTCCACCAGAATCTGTCTCTGTGATATAATATTGTAAAATGTTTATGTAGCCTCAAAAGAGCAGAAGACAGACATACGTGCTCCCACTGCATATCAGAAGTAGAAGTGAACTCTGAGGTGACTCAGGAGGCAGGGAATCATTTCTGTGTGTCAGCTCACTGAAGGCAGAAATCCACTCTCCAGAGTACTCTCTCTGGAATCACTGCTTTCCTCAGGGAGCAGAGTGCCCATGGGACGGTGTGGTCAAGGAGGCAGTGCCAGCCTCTTCCTGTCTAAGGAAGCTGGTGGTGATAGGCAGAAACGTGACATTAGAAGAAACACCTACTGCGACCACATGCTTAAAAATCAGTGAAGCTGAAACTATTGTCAGGAGATTAATCTTCTTTTTTCACAATGGTGCTACCTGTAATCTTTTAAAAAGCGCTAAGTAATGTACTGTCTGAACATTTTCTTTGCAGTGCTGGAGTGGGGCGGACAGGAACGTTCATTGCCCTGGACAGGCTCCTGCAGCACATTCGGGATCATGAGTTTGTAGACATCTTAGGACTGGTGTCAGAAATGAGGTCATACCGGATGTCTATGGTACAGACAGAGGTAGGAGCGTCATCCATATGTATTTTAAAATTTGTCTTTGACTGGAAAACTTGCCAATATTCAATCTCATGCTTCAAACAAGAGCCTTGGGTTGCTTTGCACCTGAGTTTCCCATTTCCTTAGCGTGCATGTTGAGACTGTGAAGTGGATATTACCCTCTAGAAATCCATTCAGTGTATAGTGATCACACTTCCTTTGGCCTCGTGTGCCCTTTGGTAATCCAGAACACACAGAAGCACCTGTAATAGACTAAATCATCCTCAGACAGACTGAGGGTTAGGTGACAGTAACAGCCAACCTGGGTAAAACCACCAAATAGAAGCTGTGGAACTGACGTAATTGAATTTATATCTGAAATGTTGGATTTGATTCAGTAAGCTTGTCAATTAGTCTGTCCTCCTGTAACTGGCTTTTGATGGTGGTCACGGGTAGATTTATGCCTTCAGTCCACCTTATACTTTTAAGGATTCCCAGCCCCCTAACTCATCACTTCTTCAACTTCCCTTTTATGTAAATAAATGGATTTCTCATTTTAGCAACATGGGAGCACTCCCAGGAATACTTGGCGGTGTTGCGGGCTCCCTCTTCTTCCTCTTCTCCCAAGTTCTCCCCTCCCTTGCAGCCTTGTAATTCTTCAGTCAGACTGGAGTACCAGGCCAGAGCCAGCAGACAGCATTCCAGCAGCCTCAGAGCAGCGGGGGGTGGGACCTGTGGGGGGGCAAAAACCTCAGTACAATAGCTTGTTTCTAATCCCAGTCAATAGCCTTACTCTCGACATCTCAGCTTCAGGCACACAATAGTCCTCTTTCTCAAGGAGTTTGTGTGGGAGGAAGGCTTGTTGAGTAGAACACAACCTGACCTGACCTCTTACTAAACTTCCAGGGGATTAAAACGGGCTTTGGTCGCCCTCGTGCTTTTTCCTAACAATCACCACTAGGTGGCAGTATAACCCAGAAAGCCTAGACTAATGGCTGCAGTCTCTTAGCTCTTTCCCTGTTTCTCCTTCCCCACCTTTTTTACTTTCCTCTCCTCCTGCCTCCCTGTTCTCGTGTGACCAAGGCTTGGCACAGCCCTTCCAATGTGTTTATTTCTGGGTTATAGCAGGATCATCGCACTTCAGACAGAGTAAACCATGCACATTCAGATTTCTCTTTTCTAATTAGGAAACAAGTCCTGTATTTGATCCTCACTTCTTGACCTCACTCACATTCCAACCCTAAAAGGGGCCAAACCAAACCTGTTGCCATCGAGTCAATTCCAACCCATTGCGACTCTATAGGACAGAGTAGAACTGCCCCATAGGGTTTCCAAGGAGCGGGCTGGTGGATTCGAACTGCCGACCTTCTGGTTAGCAGCCATAGCTCTTAACCACTAAGCCACCATTCCAGCCCTGCTGCCTGCTACTTTACTGCTGTAGGAGAATGAATATGACCTTGTTATCCTACATTTAGAACGTCCTGGTTTCCCAGAGAAGTCCTCCTCTAGCTAGTGATTAAACAGTAATCTATTAATTGGTCCAGATTTTTGGCTTTCATTTCCAGAAGTTTACATGCTAATGTGTGATTAAACTTCTCATTATGTATATTAATTCCCAAGCTTCAAAGGGCCACTCCTAATTTTAAGTATTTTGGTTGTGATGGATTGTCTGCCCCATTCACTTAATTTATACCTTTTATAACTTTATAGACTTTGATTTTTGCTTTTTGACTTTTGACCTTTTCAACTATAGACCCTTAATCCTTTTTTAAAAATTATCTTCACGTGGCCCACCCTCCATCCCACTTTCAGCTCCATTATCTTTCTAGAGGTGTAGTGATCACAGAAAACTAGGGCAGCCAGGATGTGGCTTTGTGCAAAGCTGGGAAAGATTTTGTCCAGAATGCCTTTCTTGCCCCAAATGTCACTTATTTGGCTTCTTTGTTTATGGAAGAATTTTCAGTTGACATCTCCAGGGAAACAATCTGTTTTAAATGTGAGACTCCTTCCTTGAACTTTCCTGGGGGAATTCAAAGTCAGCAAAGGGGGTGGAGGTCACCACAGGTTACTTATTTTTCCCAACTGTTCTCCTTCACCCTTGAGTTCCTTCAGGATTTGGTGGTGGCTGCTCCCCAGTTCCAGTTATTTATGTTTGTTTTGTTAGTTATTTCTAGAACATCTTGTTCATTTACCCTTATTACCCCTCATTCCTCTGCACTCCCTGCTTCAGCCTGTACTAGCCCTTTCGCTTCCCAGTTGTGTTGCCTTCTGATTTACTCATGCTCATCAATAAAAAGCAAAGTAAAAAAAATTATTCTGTTCACCTTGGTCATCGTAGAGTAATCCTTTGACAGTAATGATTTTCAAGAGGCCGTAATGATTCTCCATCTGATTGATTTTCCAGCTGTCTGTGTCTATACACAACCCATGAACTGTATACCATGTTTCTTCCCATTCCTGGTTTCTAATTCTCCAGCCATCTCTGGAATGCCCATCATCCTGATCCCCTCACCCCACCCCACTCCAAAAATAGCAGAAGTAAACGGATTAAATCGGCCATGTCCTCACATGCATATTTCCAGGTCGTTGCAATGTGTGCGGAGTGGGCTATATTTTGACCTATCTTCTTTCCCTTTCTCACCTGACCCAACACTTGTGGGGCTCTCCACAAGAGCAGCAGAAGTTGTTAGAAAGAGTGCCAGACCCTGGGAGAAGGTCTGAGCTCCAAGCAGTCCTTCTGCACAGGTCACTTCACTTTTCCTACTGCTCATCTGTAAAATGCGAATGATAACTTCCATGAATTGTGAAGTACGCATTATGTGAAATGACATAATATGGATAAGTGCTTTGAAACTACAGAAGATGGTGTTCACCTCTCTTGGGCTCTGTTCCATTTTCATTCAACGTTTTGCATGGTCTTCCTCTAACAGCCTTCCCTGGAGGTCAGTTAGAGCTTTGCTTTCAGCACGTCCTCCTGATCTGTAGCCTAGATTTCTTCTGGGCTCCCAGGGATGTGTTTATTAATAGTCTTTTATTTACTTTTCCTGTGGTCTATCTTCTTTTTTTGACACAAAGTTTGTCCCACTCTTGCCACCAAATAATTATTGGTTGAAGAACCAGGCAATCTCTGGCCTTAGCTATGCCTAGTGCTTGACAATGGGGTGACATATGATGGCAAGGACAGCTCAGGTATTGGTGAGGTTCTCTCAAAAAATAAGGGTATACGTTTTCTGCAAGCCTTGTTGAAAAATACAGGTTAGGCAGAGGTACCAAGCCAGTGATGTTTGAAGTATTAACATTTATCCTTTGTATAAGGCTCTTTAAAATCCTGTGGATAATGGTATTAAAAGTATTTACTTTTAGAGAAACTTTGGGAAACAAAGAAAAAGGAGAAAGACCATAAAATTATCCATGATTTCATTTCGCAAAGACAACTGCGCTTAACAGTTTGGTGTATTTCCGCATGGCCTTCATTCAAGTATAACTTACACAGTTTTGTTCATATGCTATATATGTGTGTGTGTGTGTGTGTGGATGTATATATCTTACACCCTAATTTTTCACTTAACGTTATGAGTGTTACCCCAAACTGCCTGAAACTCTATAAACTCATTTTAAGGCTGATTAATGTTTCATTATAGATATGCCTTTGCTTACTTAAGCCATTCTTCTTTTTTTATGACATTAAATTGGTTTCTTTTCTGCTTTGTTACTATCACCTGTGTCCACAACACCATTTATTAGTGTTTTATTAATTATATCTCCCCCCGCAAATAAATAAAAATGACTGCTTCAACAAAGTCGTCACCACTGACTATTATTTCTTTTTTCCTTTTAGCTTTGCTCACTTCATAGATGACAAGTAATTGTTTTAAGTTACATTTTGATTACTTGCCTATTTTTTGTCTATGTTTCTAGTTATTAATATTTCCTTAGTTTAATTCAAAAAACGTTCAGCAAGCACCAACTAAGTGCAAGGCATTAGGAATAAAAAGACATAGTCCTTGCCTTCCAGGAATATGTGGGCTAGTGGTTGATGTTCTTGACCTATATTCTATTTAAGTGTGTGAGTTACTGATTTGGATGAGTTTTTAACAAGTATAAAGGTATCAACATTTTGTCATTGTTCTAGAAAATATCTTCCCCTCCAAGTTCCTGGTTCCCCTTTATTGTTTTGACTTTCTTTTCCATGCAGTAATTTGACGTTATCAGTTGTAATTTCTCCCATGTTTTTAAGCTTAGTCCTTCTCTAAAGTGAGCGGAGAGGAGTTAACCTATATTTTCCTTTATATTTTTATGGCTTAATTTCTTAAACTTGCTGGAATTTATTTCAGTGTATGGTGAGGTTTTTTTTTTTTTATGGTGAGGTTATGTATTTTTTTTTTTTCCAAAAAAAATAATTTGTCCATTGAATATTGATTGCCTTTACCACTAAGTAGCAATGATCTAAACTTTATTAATCAAAATATTTTCACGGTTGATTCTCTTGAAATTTCTAATTATAAAATTGTGTCTCTATAAATAATGAAAATTATGTCCCCCTTTAAGAAAAAATATCTTGAGCTTGAAAATTACCATAGTACGGTAAAGCCTGCGAAAGCTGGAAACCGTGTAAGGTGGAAATGCATCAGAGAAGGAAAACGCAAATATTTTCTACTAAAATGAGCATTGGAGAAGTACTAAGACTGCATCCTGTCAAAAGCAGAAAATTTGTTAGACCAGGAGAAACAAGGCAGTCTCGTGGATTTCCAGCTCTCATAAGTTTCACTGTGTTAAAATACTATATCTTTATGCATATTTGCACAAAGATACCTTGCCCTGACACATGTTTTTGCCTTTTGCCCCAGGAACAGTACATTTTTATCCACCAGTGTGTACAGCTGATGTGGTTGAAGAAGAAGCAGCAGTTCTGCATCAGTGACATCATATATGAGAATGTCAGCAAGTCCTAGTTCAGAACTGGAAGCAGTAAGTAGAGAAGAGCCCATCACAGCTTCTGTGTCTTAGAACAACAGGCAGTGATGTGATGGAATTCACTGAAGGATGGGGCAAAAGGCAGCCCCGGGCTGTTGTACTGACTCTGCCTTTACACTAGTGTTTCCACTCCAACTCCCTGCCCCAGGGGGTGGTCATTGGAGGAGACAGATCCTAGGTCTTAACACCCCTTGTTCGGTGGTCACACCACACAGGAGCTTCTGCAGCTCGTGATGATTTGACCTCCAGTCCCTCCACCCTGAACCTTAAGTCATTATTACATCTGTGCCTGCAGTATCAGGATGCGGCCATCCAACTCTACTTATCTAGATATGTTGTGCAAATATTTTATTAATCACAAGGGTCATACGAGCAGTTACAAAGAAGACATGAGCTGGAGTGGACACCCCAAAGAAGAAGAACGATATTGACGATATTGAACATCATGGTAACAGAGTCTGGAAATGCCTAGTTCTCATCCATTATGTGAGCACTTAAATAAGACTTCATAAAAACATCTGCAATATATTTAATGCCCTGTACTCAAATTTTGACAATGAGAGCAGATTTTTGGATGTGAAAGTAATCTTGACTGAGTTAGCATTTAATCTGCACATTCAGCTCATAAATAGATTGTGAATGTGAGTGATTATGCTGGAGTGGGGAGCCGTTGACAAGATGAGGAGATGCAAGAGTGCCCTGGGGGAGAAATATGGAAGGGCAGGTACCATGTGGACCACTGGGTAGCAGGACAGGATTATCATTGTACCTTTATATCCATCAAGAAAGAGAGCCCATTAGACAAGGACTAGAAGGCAGGAGGGGACAAGAAAGCTGGTAATAAGGAACCCAAGGTCGAGAAGGGAGAGTGTAGACATGTCGTGGGGTTGTTAACCAATGCCATAAAACAGTATGTGTACCAACTGTCGAATGAGAAGCCAGTTTGTTCTGTAAACCTTCATCTAAAATACAATTAAAAAAAAAAAAAAGACCTTTAGAGATCAAAGAGGATGCAGAGGGTAAAGAATAAGAAAAGACAGAGAGAAACAACTTTTGCAGGGATACTGAAGACATTCAAATCCTCAAAAAGAGGGAGTCACATAGAGAAAGATGGGTAGACACATACACAAACACATGGGTTGAGGGATTGAGTGTAATGAGATCTAGTGGTGGAGACAGCAGGAGGTCTCTGTACTTCCAGAGGTGTTGATGAGCAGCTTTGATATTCCAGGCTGCTTACTGTCTTTCTCTCTCTCATTCACAGGAGAGGACATGATGTTCACCCACCCTCCCTTACTTCTGGATTTTTTAGGGGAGTCTGTTAGCCATTTTTCTAACAAGGGCCCCTGCTTTGTAATATGTGGCCAAGGAGATAATTTATCTCATAGAAGCACCCGGAAGACCTAGCCTTAAAGATCCTACAGTGTCTTTTGGACTCTTACTTCTGCACATTTAATAATGGACCAAATTCAATTGAACACTACAAAAGTCAAGATGCTCTACAAAGGGCAGGAAGTGAAGCACTTCCGAAGAGTTTAGTTGGCCTTTTGCTGGTTGGGCTGAGTTAGTTTTTGTTTTCTTTTGTTTGTTTTATTTTAGTGCAATAATTTTTATATGTGCGTATTTTTATCAGAAAGTAGAATTGTTTTCTGCCCATACTATTGATCTAGCCCATAGCCCAGGAAAGAATAGGCATTGTGAATACTAAATTATACCCCATTGTTAAAAAAGAAGAGGCATGGCCACACATGAAGAAATGGTAATTCTCCTTCAAGGACATAGAACCGGCAGTATCTGCATTCCATTATTAAGTGCTGGATCAGGAGCTGGGAGTGGGGATGGGGGAAGAGATAGGTGTTCTACCTACAGATCAGTCCTGTACCTTTTTCTTATTCCAAATATGAAAAGCTGTAATTCAACTTCAAAGTAGAGTAGAAAAAAATATTTAAGTCTAATTGTTCTAGTTCTTAATGGTTTTCTTCCTTATTAACAGTTGGGTGTTTCTTCCTTGGCCCTTTTGGACTAATGCCACTGTCCAGGTTCTTTTGTCAACAAACCAGATAATTGGTTCAGAGAAGTTTGAAGTCTGACCTTTTAGACTCCATTGCTGTGTGAGCAATCTTGGTGCCTCGACTTTGCATTCCTTTTTCTATTGACCTGCATACATGTGAGAGCTATTTCTTTGAGAACTATAGCTGCGAAAACGCACTTTCTTTCCCTCAGAGCTGGGAATTTATGAAGTTACGGCAATGAATTGCAGCATGCTAGGACAATTATTTGGCTACAGATATGTAATATTGTCAAGCGTCTCTGTGGATTCCAACAGAGATATCTTTTTGTTTTGTTTCCTTTTTGGTTTTCAGTTTAATTGTAACCACTGTAACTAGTAACATTTTATTCCTGGGATTTTGTATAATTACAGTACATGATTGTGTATTGTAACATGAATGCTATCAAAAATGGACATCGATGGCACTGTGAAGCCTGCTACTTTGTGTCACTTCCTTAGAAGTAAGAGGTGATGGTATGGGTTGCAAAGGAAAACATTTTGAGGTGAAAGTAAACACAAGCTGGCTGCTTCTCTATGGCAGTGTGGCTGCTGTGGAATCCCTGTGTGTGCTTCCAGGAGGCTTTGGTCCCTTCTGTGTATCTGATCATGGCCCCTTGCCCCAGCTTCCCTCCATTCCTGATCCCCTTCTTGAGGCCACGTGTATAGGATTGGTTACATATTTCATCAGTGATCTTAGTGATGGTGAAGGATGCCAGATGAACAGCTGTGTACTCCACAGTCAGTCTCTTGTCACTGAGAAGGCCTGGCCACAGCAGACCTTGGCACCATCGCTTGCTGGCCTGGCCAACAAGTCTCAGTTCTACCCTGCAGGGTGAGTGACAGAGGATGTCCATACCCTCCAGGTTAACAGCTTGGACTCTTAGGGGATTGTCCTTTTTTACTCACTTCCCTTCCTCCGCTTCTTACCTCCCTGCTGCCATCCCTCTCTTCTTCTCACCCCCACTCCTTTATTTTCCGTCTTGGATATTTTTATAATATATCACTCCATTCTCAAGAACAAACATAGCTTTTCAAAAGGTGGCAAATGTATGTGTGACATTCTCAGACTTTCACACATGGACAGGTCAGGAGTGAGGTGTGCAACATTGGAAGAGCCGATAAGAGGTATCGGCAAGCAGGAATGCATTTCAGAAACTTACAGGAACATCACTTGCTGTGAAACTTAAAGCACTTCATAAATATTTCAGGGTTTTTTCTTGAGTACCCCATCAAGGTAGGGATTAAATAGTGCCAGATCGGTTTTCCCAAAAGAGAAGTTGAAGTATCCAGAGGTAACTAAAAACCCAATTGAAAGAAATGGAGTCAAACCCAGACAGTGGATTATTTCTCCTGAAATTTGTTGTCTTTGCTTCAACAGGCATAAAATTAGGACCTATCAGCTTTTCCATCCTTTAGAAGTACAGTCAATCCCAGGATTATGAATGAGTTCCGTTCCTAAATCTGTCTTTAAGACGAATTTGTATGTAAGTTGGAACAGTTAGGTATGGTCGTATCGAACATCAGTCAAATGTTTGTCTTAGTATACAGTGTACCTTTCCATGCAAAAAAATCATTAAAGAAACACTTCCAGATATACTATCTTTAACATAATAATACAGTAATAATAATAATGTTTTGATGCAAGTCGCAAAGTAGCACCTGTTTGTTATTAGGAACCATTGTACATGCCTCAAATTTTTAATATAATAGGCTTTACAGGAGTTGGTTCGTATCTACGGGGTGTAGGTAAGTTGGACATTTGTAACCTGGGGGCTGCCTGTAATGCACTCAAGAGCTTAGACTACAGAAGGTCACACGAAATCACTTTAGCAGATCATTCTCAGGGGTCTCCACAGTCTTCACTCAGTTCACGGGAACACAGGTGCTCCTCACTTTGTGGGGCTTCTGGTGGGAAAAGCATCAATCTGTTGGAAGACTTGGGTTCTAATCCCAACAGATGACTTTAGAATTTATTGTGCTGGATCTCAGCTCGACTGTAGAATGACCTAATAATAGCTCCTTATTTTGCAGGCGTAAGGAATATCAGATACGATCATTCTCACAAAGGTGCTTTGTTTCTTGTGCTCTCATGTACCCTAAGGCCACTATGACCAGCTCTATTTCCACCCCAGGAGTCAACTTGAAGCATTCAGCAGGGAGGTTGCCAAGGCCTCTGTATTATTAATTAGGGTTTCTATCATCTGAGTAGTGCTTTGTCCTGAACACAGAGGCAGGAGCGTGCGCAGTTCCTCATAACCTGTATGGCGCATAGAAGGAGGCGAAGACTTTGGGATTACAAAATATGTCGCTTTGAATGCCACTGAGATCAGCTTCCTAGGCTGCAAGTCAATTTCTGAGGTTAATTGAGAAAACTACCATTAATGTCTAATTTATAAATTTAATAGTTAACACCAAAATATCCATCGCTACACATTGCATGATTTTATTTAATTTGGGGAAAAAAAAGACACCATTTTTTGGACAGCATTCTAATTCAGGGCTTATGCTTTCCCACTGCAAAGACAACATTGCCCCCAAATTTAAAATTAGAAAAGCTGGTAAAATTTTTTTAAGGTCAGGTTTTATGTCTCTACTTTTTTAAAAGCTACCCCTGATCTAAAAGAGCCAATATGTCTCTCAAAGGAGGCTGTGGTTTCAACACATAAGGCAGGGGCTGGAAGCTCTGAATCTGAACTTACTGGAGGCCACATGATAGCTACGTGCTGGAAGACTGACCCTTAGCCAAGGAGCTGAAGTCACTGAGTCCAATCTCTTAGGAGCCAAAATTCTCCCTGCTTTCTAGCAAGGAGGGCTTCCTTTCTACCCTGGGAAGTGTCTGATGTAATGTGCTTCAAATTAGCTGGCTTGTTTTCTAGCCCACAGATTTCCAGCCTGGTGCTTGGCACAGGGTCAGAGTCCAGGGGCCATCCCTGTGACTGAACATAACACCCACTTTGGCCAAAGGGATTATCTAGCAACAAAAACATAACACATGCAAAAACTGTAACCTCTACCTCTGGTTTTTCACAGCCTTATTTGGATGCATTTGAAGGAAACTTAAACCACGATGTTTCTGACCCTTGGCCTTCCAGCACAGTAGGATTTTTGTTTTCCGTTTCAGCTCATGCTTATCACAAGGCCTTATCCTAGTGGGTCACTTGACTAAAGATGGAATATCATGTTTAGTTCTGAGAGCTGCATTATAACAGGGACACCAACAAACTGAAGGTCATCCAGGGCAAGGTCAGCAGAACCATTAGGGATCTGGGAAAACAAGTGATAATAACAAGACGTGGGAAAACTGGAGCTATTAGGCCTCGAGTAAAGGAAGAGTCATTCATTCGTTCAATCATTCATTCAACAACTGTTTATCTCATCATATTAAATGAATGAATCAATCAACCAATGAACGCTTTCTTGACCAATTGCAATATGCTAGGTACTATGGTAAGCGCAATGGGGCAATACGCTGGCTTTTAAATATACGTCACAGAATCAAAGGGTGTTCTGTTGTTGTTAGAAAGACTATGAAAACAGTCAAGTCTTTTTCAACATTTTCCACTTATAATTCCCAAGACTCGGACAGTACTGTATTTTTATGCAAATAATGCACGCCTTCTACTTTTGTTTGCCAACTGCACCCTACCACCCCGCAAGGTATTTTCATAAGCGTGCTATGCTATTTTTTTTACAGCAACATGTAAAAAAAAATTGACATAGCAGCACTTACAAAAATACTTCTCTGGTGGGGAGAGCATGGTTGGCAAACAAACGTAGAAGGCGCACGTTATTTATGTAAAAAATATAGTGTATCTTCTACACATATCCCCCAGCCAAGATAATGGTGTTAGTTTTTCCCCTACAAGCTTATATAACAGAAACAACAGGGAGTCATTGTTTTTCTTACTCATCAACCCCTAGAGGCCCCGACATGCTCCCTCTTCCTTGATGAGAACCACCAAGTTAGCTTACTCTCCTACCCAAAACAGGACTCCCCTCAACCATATATCTGACAGATGGCTAATCCTTCCCTACTGAACCCTTCCAGATATGAGAATCACTACCTCACAAGGTAGCCCATGTCCTGTGTGTCAGAAAGCATTTCCTTCTTATGGTTACACATCTAAGGACCTTACTAACATTAAGGATGTATGAGTCTATGCCTCGCATGAGTGTAGGTTTGAAGCCCAAATCCACTTACCCATTTTGGGAGAAGGGCAGGTGTCGTGTACATGCCGCTGCCTGGGGCTGACTGGAATAGAGGGCTGGTTTCTCGCTTCGGCAGCCAAGGGGACCACATTCACACCTGACTCAGGCGTTTCTTTCCGAGAAACTATGTGCTAAGCCCTTTATATGCATACAGTCTGAACTTCCAATCATGATTTTGAGGCAGGAGTTCCCATGTAACAGGTGAAGAAGTTAAGAGGCAATTAGGTTAAATAAATTAAACGCCTACTCAATTATAAAGTGGCAGGAACAGGATTTCAAACCAGTTATGTCTTTCCCTCAAAGCCTTTCTTCCTCACCGCATTATGCTAGTTCTCACTTATCCCTGATGAAGGATAATAGAACAAAATTAAATCTTCATCTCCAGGCAGTGTCTTTAATATAAGGGTAACCTTCCAATTAAGAAACAGTAAATTCCTAACCTCTACGAAAATCACTTTAGTCAACATTCCATGCCAGGTACAGTGGGAGGGGCAGGGCCTATGAAGATGGATGAGACAAGGTCCCTGGTTCAACGAGTTTGCATTCTAGTAGGAGAAGTTAGAAGTGAAAATAGGGGCAACAAAGTGTTATGGATGCCAGGATAGAAACACATAAAGCATCCAATGTAGGGCCAAGGGAAGGACAAGTGATTTTTTTTCAGCAGGTCCAGGAAGGACTCTATACTTAGAGCAACATGAAAGTGTAATAATGGTGTACATTCATTCCTGCATTCAGCAAACACTCAAAACACTCACTGTGCCCTGGTGGTGCAGTGGTTAAAGCACTCGGCTGCTAACTGAAAGGTTGGCAGTTTGAACCCACCAGCCACTCTGCAGGAGAAAGATGTGGCAGTCTGCTTCTGTAAAGATTACAGCCTTGGAAACCCTATGGGGCAGTTCTACTCTGTCCTATAGGGTCACTGTGAATTGGAATCAACTCGACACCAATGGATTTTTGTTTGTGCATCAGTCACTGGGGCCCATCTGGGTCACCAATCCTTCACGCCTGCCTTCTGAAGCTTTTCTTCCTGGCAGACTTCAATATGACGATTTCTCTCCAAGCCTTCTCAGACAGCTCTTGCTTGGCAGGTTCCAGTGGGTTTTTTTTAACTGGGCATCTGCTGCAAATGTAATGGAGCATGTTAGGGCATTTCCCAGCACCTCTGCAGTTAGGTTGGAGCCACGTGACTGAGTTCTGGCCAATGGAAGGTGCCTAGGTGGAAGAACGGTAAACTCTAGTTCCTGGCCTTGCCCATGAAAATCACCCCAGAGCTACCTTCTCTCTCTTTCCCCAACCCCAATTTGGAAGCCACATATTAAAACTGGTGGTGCCACAAGATGGAAGGAGCCTACATCCGTGTATCAGCACTTGGAGCAGTGATACTTGCCTTCATTGGCCCATGATGTGATCAAGAAATAAATTTCTATTGCATTAAGTCATTGAGATTCTGGGACTGTCAGTAGTGGTAATCCATCTGCCCTAAACTAACCTAATAGCTCAAGGATAACCTTTACAACTATGTTTGATCTTAGTTCCTAGTGGGAGTTTTTCAGGACAGTGGTGTGTGACTACCCAATAAAATTCTCAGAAGACAGTGAAAGATGAACCAGCAGAGCAAGCTTCACCCACAGTGCAAAACAAGGGCCTAGGAAAGGCCACAGAAGCAATGATGATTCTTTTAATAAACAACCTTTTCTATGAAAATAGCAGGAATTATTCTTCAGAAGTGGTTTTCCTCCATGTTACAAGTCTCCTTATCTTTTCCTGCTATCTCTTTCCACTCCCTCTAACAAAATCATTATCTAGGAAACTCAATAGAATATTTTAGTCCTACAGTAGGCTACCCACCGTGGATCAGAGTCCTGGCTTCCTCTCAGCAATGGACCCCACAGTGGTTGCACATCAGTGAATGGCCACGAGCTGTGACATGTGACGCAATGCTGAGCAACACAGTCCCTCTGCCTTGCGTGTGTCACGCGAGTTCCAGGGCCATGGATGGGAGTTCAAAGCTAGCTAACGGAAAACAGTTTTGTTCAGTCTTAAGAACAACAGAAAGTCCAAAGGGCTGTTTAAACCAGGAAAAGTTAACTACAAACACAACTGCTTTTATAAATAAGAAACAGAATGGTCTTGGAAGAGTTCCTTTATGTCCAAAACAAAACTTAGATCATATCCCCCTCTTAACCAATGGAGTTGGCAAGCAGTACTGCAAGGGCTGAGCAG